TGATTATGTTGGGTCACATAGTTGGTAAACATCTATTCAGCTCATTTGTTCACAGATTTGGTTCAGCTTTCATATTTATTTGCTGGTTTTTTGACTAGTTCATCTATCTGTTTGTGATAGTAGGGTATTGAATCTTCCTGTATCAATTGTGTGAATTATTTGATTTTTCATGTCTTTTAATAATTGTCTTATGTAGTTAAGTGCTCCTGTATTAGATGCATACATATTTGTGAATGTTATCTTATCCTTTTCAAATTTTTCCCTTAACAAGTATGGAGTGAGGTTCTTTATCTTTTTGGTCATTCTTGGTTTGAAGTTCATATTGTCTCCAAAGAGAATAGCTACTCATGCTTTTTTCTGGGTCCTTGTTACATGAAAGATTGTTTTCCATCCTTTGACTTTGAATTTCTGAATTTCTTTTTGCCTTAAACAAGTCTTTTGCATACAGCATATTTTTGGATCTTGTTTCTTGATCCATTCTCCCCATTTACTTCTTTTGGTAGGTGAGTTGAGGCCATTTACAGTGATATGTATTGGTTTGTCTTTGTTTTAATGTTGTTCTGCTGTTGGTTTTCTGCTTTTCTCCTAGGTTTAATTACTTGTCCTGCCTGGTGGTTTTTGTGCTTTTCTTGGAATTGTGGCCATTTTTACCTCTCTATGTAACTTTCATTATTTTTTCTCAGTTCAATTTGAAAGTTGTTCTTTGTGATGGAAGTATCTTATGTTTCCACTAATTTTGAAAGTTTTCCAGCATACATCAAATGTAGATTGGAAGATTTTTCTTTCAAGACTTTTACTTCTGTCCAAACTCTTCTTCACTTGGATATTTGTGTTGAGAATACTGAGGTAGGTTCATGAATAAAAATATAGGATTCCGAGCAGCCCAACTGATATATTTGGAATTTAATTAACTGAACTCTGGACTAGTCATATACAGACCCTGCCCATTTCAGAGCCCAAACAATTGGCCCTGAACCGGAAACTTACAAACTTTTAAACAGGGAAAACCAACAATGTGACATCCTATTGGAAACTATTGAAGGAGAATCTTCCATTGATCTTTGGTTTACACCTGTATCCTGCTTCTTTTTTTTTGAGCAGGTTAATTGTTTCCTGTAGGTGCAGCTCATTCTGCTTTTCTCATAAGACATGTACACCAAGTAATTTTCCATCCTCCTGCATCAAATACAGTGCACTAGTGAAATGCAGAGCTCATGATGGTGTCAGTAATGCCAAGCTACAATGAAGACTACTGTGATTCTGATGGGCTTTCAATTATTAGTGATCTGTGATTTTTCCCTACCCACTTTTAATATTGTGTTCATGTGCTGAAATCTAGAATCTTGAATATATCTTGGTGTAGTTTCAGTTTGGTTACATCTATTTGGAGTTCTATACGCTTCATTTGAATGTGTCAAATTTTTTTCTTTCTTTCTTTCTTTTTTTTTTTTTTTTTTTTTTTTTTTTTTTTTGTGCTTGGCATTGAACTCACAACCTCTTCCAAGCAAGCACTTATGTCAGTGAGCTAAATCCCTTGCCCTATATGTCACATACTTTCTCCGTACTTGGGCTGTTTTCTGCCATTATTTTTCTGAAGTTGTTTATAGTATTTGTCCTGTGTCCAGCTTTCTCGTTGACCCCAATCAATCTCATATTATTCTTTTTTGCTTCATTTTGTACCTGTTGATTTCTCATAGTCTCTTCCTAGTTTTATGATAGCATTCTTTTCATGACCACTAGCAACAATTTTGTCTTCAAAATCTGAAATTCTAACACTCTCTTTTGTTCAGTCTTTTGCATATACTTTTAATCTCTTACAGGTTTATATATCACATACATTTTAATCTCTTGAATTTCTGATTGAATCTGTTTCATGGATTCAATTTTTTTTGCTATGTATGGCAATTTTTGTTTTTCATCATTTTTCTAAGTTTACACATTCTTTTAGTTGTGTGTTCTCTAACAAATTTGACTTAAAGCATTATTTTTAATCTGATAGAATTTCTCTGTAAACTTTTTGGTATTTACAATTCTGTTGTTATCATGGCAGATAGCTCCAGCTTTTGACATGCAATTTTATCTATCTCATTGTGCTTTGGGCTAATAACAAGTGGGGTGAAAGACTAGGGTTCGATTTTGCTTCTGTATCTTGTCATTTTCTATTTTCTCTTTCATTTTCTTTTCTATGTGCTCCAATCTCATATGATATATTGCTTTATTACTAATATTGAGGCTTATTTCAAGGATATCCTTCATATATGGTTGCATTTTTATAGCTATCCCAAGAATGCATCATCCTAATGTATATAGGATGCAAAATTCACCTGAAGTTTAGCCCCTAATTTTTGTTGGTGGACTGTGAAGCTGATTATGACTCCCTGCAATCACAGTGTTATCCTACATGAGAGAACTGTTTATAATATATTACTAACTAGCTAAAATAGTACAGTTAATAATAGCACTTGTCTCAACTTCAGCTTAACTACTAACTATGGCAACCATACCTGGCTAACTCCACAGGATGAAACTCTGTGAATATTTAATGAAATCAAAAATACACCATGCACTTTTATGCTTTTGTTTTCACGTTAGTGTAGTTATTTTACCATTTTATAGGGGAATAGAGCATTTATGTGGATAGAGGTTGTCTAAAGTGATGAATGAGGTCATACACAGCACAGTCAAAGCTGGAGGTCAAGAATGATTACCTAAGTTTTGGGAAATTTAAGGAAACAAATGAAATAGAAAGTGAGAGAATAATCAGAAAAGACACAGTTATGGTTTGTGTTTGGATAGACCTCCTCAAGCGTCATGCAATCATGGAGGCAAATCTAGTATTTGTGATTGGTTCATTGTCCTAGTGCTGGGAATTTGGTGTGAGTGCTCCACCTGCCCAGGTGTGGGAAGTCTTTTCAGAACACAATGTAAAAGAAGGAAGGAGACATGTGTTTTCCTCTTTTGTCCTTTAGCTTTTGTCATTTTCAGCCAACATGAACAGCTGACCCCAACCATGCCACTCTGCCTTTAAAGCCAGCTAAGTGTGAATTGTTATCTCCAAAATTTGTAGTTAACTAAAATTTACTTAATTTTGAACATCAGGAATTTTGTCTCAACAATGAGAGAAAAGTAACCAAGAAAGGCAGGGACAATATAACTCACTTGAAAGTTTAAATTCAAGACTAATTGAGGAAAAAGAGAAAGAGAATCAATTGAAGAAAACAAAAAAGAAAGGAGAGAAGGGTTATAGCTGCAGTTCCATTGGGTTGATTTCCTTAAGGTAAACTTGCTCTTGCCTTTCTAGAGCAGGTGTAGACTTTCCAAGTCAGACATAAATAAGTCAGACATTGCTACAGTTCTCACCTGGAAATACATCAATAAGTGTGCTCAGATTTCTACACTGCTTCACCTGGGGACAGCAGAACTCAGAGAGGGAGGGCATTTTACAGTATGTATGGTCAATCCACTAGTAGAGCATAATGTATGTGATATCATCATTGAGCAGTATGGAATGGGGCAGATAGATTCATTGTTAAAATTTTCTCAGAATTTTTAGCCAACTAGGCCATTTTACTTTTTACAGGTTAGAGTTCATATCAGAGCACATATACACATCTCCAGCTGTGGGGGATGAGGTGTCACTTTGAAGGCCCCAACCCCCTCAAACCTGCAGTAAACAATAGCCCCCAGTATGCGAGACAGAGGTAGGACAGGAATGCCTGTTCTCAGTGAGATCTCTCACCCTCTGGAAACCATACTGTGTGAGCTGGCTTTGCTTTGCAGAAGTCTTGAGGAAGTGGCTGGCCACCCTTTGTGACACTAGCAGCAAACAAAATTAACATCATTCTTGGGCTAATGAATTTCCTTCTGGGCTAGAGGAGTTAGGAGAACTGGTTGTGGTTGTTTACTTCACTTAGATAGTTTAGAATAAACATTGTAGTCTGTCACATTGTAGCTTGTCACAAAGAATGCCTTTTCACTACTTAATTGTCTGGGCTCTGTGAACTGATCCGGTTTACTATATAGGAATCTTAAAATAAAGATTGTGTGTGCAGTGCAGTGCAACGCGGTGCAGGCAGTAAAAGTGCCGTGTCTCTTCTGTTTTCCTTTCCGAGCGCTGCACCCCCCATGTCCCGGTCAGGCATGTTTGCGTGTTTGCCTTTCCCGGAGTCCAGAGTACACTAGATACTCACGATATCCAACCATATTTTCTTGAGAAATGTTTCAGTATGTTGCTATTGCCCAGCAATGCTGCAAACTTGTAAATGTGCAACTCCTTTGTGTAAGCTCCCCTGAATGCTAAAATTACAGGAGTGCACCACCACATCTCTCTATGGCACATTTAACTAAAAAACTAGGAAAACATAAAAGCAAGATACTAATTATTAACATATCTATTACATTCCTTGAGCACCAGTGTTCTACACAAGAATCAAAAGTGAGAAGAAAGCCACCTGCTGCACCAATGATCAAAGGACACATTCACATTCACACAGGTAAATAACTTTTCCATATAGAGGATGATATTGACTGCTGAAATGGTGTGCCACAGTGAATCCTGGTGACCATGCAAGAAGTAGTAAAATTTCAAATCTGGGATCTGACCATGGCCAGCTGCTCTCTTTTCCCACTGGCAAAATGTAACATCTTATACACTAATATTTACTAGAAGAAGACCCTTACCTGAAGTCTCTTTAAGGTTCTCACTAAACTGCAAAATTCATCACACCTTTCTCCAGAATCTACAAGAAAGAATCTAATTCTGAGCCTGACAACAAATATTTCATGTATACAAATTAGAGATTTACACCCATATGTCTATGCATGTCAAAAACAAAAATGGAGAAAGCCCAAGGAAATTAGGTTCACAACCTCAATGGCTGTGGCTTCTGCCTTCTTCATGACTTTTATGTATGAGTCTAACATTCCAACAGTCTGAAGCATTTCATTCTTTGCATTTTTTAGTGTTCTGTTGTTGTTATCTCCAGCTGGAGGCCACCTACCTGGAATATGACTGTCCAGTCTGCACCAAGGGACATTCATTGCTTCTTCTCTGTCAGCTCCACTATAACCTCATGTTGAAGATGTAATCAATGCATATCACATCAATATTTACAGATTAAGGCAAGCATGTTGAACTCAAATCTTTGAATATCACTCTGTGTCCATCCATGATTCATGTTTTGTTACCTAATAAATTAGAAATAAAATACTGATACTATACATGGGCTTTAAAAGGACAAGTAGATACAGTTTTGAGACTATGAAGAGATCCACAAAAAGTGATATGTCATCAAACCGGTTTGGAGTACAATATCTCAAACATAAACTCATCTGCTTCCTTATCAGTAGTTTTCTAAAGGTTCAGGTGATGCTTGTGTAGTAGTGCTCTCTGTCTGGTGATACTTCTGTTGTCTTTGCCATTAGACGCTGTTTTTCTGCCTCATAACCATTACCATAAACCCACATATTCTTTTCCAGAGCATATACTGAACATCTTAAAAAGGCATTTTCCTTTCAAAAATGTATCCTTCTTCCAGGTTTATTCCTTCTCAGGTTCAATCATATCCCATATGAAACCAATGTAGTGATCTGAGAGTAAGTTAAAAAAATTTTAAGAAAACATGTGATATAGACTTTCGAATGGAAGAGTAGATATTCTTGGACAGTGTACATGCATTTTGTCATTTGACAAAGTGTTCTGTCATGTGACTTCTCCAGACTATTTCTGACTTTTCGTCTGTTGTTACAAGCCTGTAATGTAGGAGCAATGTGCCTTTCTATTAAACTAAAAGTGTAATGTCCCTTATTTGATGAACATGATTCCATGTGCCTAATGTATGCTTCCAACAGTAGATAGTAATGAAACACACACACAGCATATTATATACATACATACCTATCGAAGTTTAAATGATAAGTTATGCAAGGAATTTTACTTGATGCTGTAATGGTAATTTGAATTATAGTGTAACTGGTGCCCAGTGAATGTGCTGTCTTTCTATGAATGTTGCTCTTGCTACTGTATTCATGTTTCTTTTCATGATGTGACATCACACAGTAGCTATGAGATAAATTGAGACTAACAATGGATCATAGGGGCATGAAATTTAGTGGTACTGTCAATGGCACAAGATTTTAACCTTGTAATACTTGGTTTGGAATTTTTAATATTAGCTCCTGCTGCACTGACAGAATTAACATGTGCATAAATAGCGAGTATGATTACCTTGGCTGCTTCCATATCACTCAACAGACCTACTGAATATGCCAGAGCAAATCTGAAACCTCAAAATACAGGCACCCCTTAGTCAAATTTTTTGGTAGATGAACCTGATACATTTTTTTTCAGGCATTGACTCATATGCTTGTGATCAACACATGTTTGCCCAGTGCACTTGTGGCTTTCCATTTTCACAGTTACAATGTAACTTCACAACCATAATTTGGGATTCTGTTTATTGGAATCAAAATCTGTGAGTTTAGTAGAAACACAGGAAGGATGATGAAATCTATATGTACTTGTATATTCAGGAAGCTGCTATATATAGTTGACTGACTTTACCTACACAAATACTGTGTATAATTTTACATTTATTAACAAAAACAAAAGATCAGTAATTGGAAAATGAGAGATATTTGACAAGTGGAAACAGGATAAGGAAATGATGGAAGGGGAAAAGGGAGATCAGGTGAAATAAAAGTGAAATAAAAAGTGAAGTGAAATAAAAAGTTCAGATAGGCTGAATGCATGTACAATATTCTGATAACCAATGTAAAGATACAGTACAACTATGTATTAATATAAATTTTACTCAGATTTTCTTGCATTTGGATTATTAATCTTTTTTATTTCAAAGAAAATAAAACCAAATAACCCAGTAAAAAGTCAAAGAAAGCAAAACACTGATAGTGATACAGGATTTCAAAACAGGATAATATGAAATCAACAATGGTTCACAATGGCTCTTGTTATCTTCAAAATTGCTGCCCATAGGTGCTGGGGATTAGCACAGGGTTTAAATGCCACTGGCAAGTGTGAGGCCATGAGTTCAATCCCTAGTACCAAAAAAGAAACTACTGCCCTTAGCATCATAAGATCAAACAATATGAGAATAAAACCAATCAAAATAAGATATTAAATAAAATAAGACAGAGAGGCCTGGTGTCCTGGGGTAAGTGCCCCTTGCACTTTCCCCCCAGCCCAGCTTGTTTGGTACCCTCGCATCTTCTGGGTGCACTGGAACTGCTAGGCAGGTCTGGGGTACCTGCATCTGCCTCCCCATGTGCTTGGAGGACTGTGGAGTTCTAAGCAACCAGGCAATGTCACCAGTTCCAGAGGCCCAGTGTCCTGGGTAAGTGCCCTGCACACTTTCCCCTGATCCCAGCTTGATAGGGACCCTTGAGCCTTCCAGGTGCACTGGAACTGCTAGGCAGCTCTGGGGTGGCTGCAATAGCCTCCCCGTTTTGGCTGTGCTTGGAGAACTGTGGAGTTCTAAGCAAGCAGATGAGCGCCACCAGTTCCAGAGGCCCAGTAGCCTGGGGGAATGTGGTGCCCGAGTCCCAGGAGCTGAGGGCATAGAAGTGGATTTCCAACAGACCCTGAGGAAGCTTTCAAATAATACTTGAAACACAGAAATATGGGAAAGTGACAAAACAAAAGACCAAATTACTATCTCAAACCTCCAGGCTATCTCAAGAAACTTTAGGAGTGATGTATACAGAAGAAAATATATGCCACACACCTCAAATATTAGACATAATAGCAACTGAAATAAACAAGAAGCTCTGGGAAGCTTTAAAGGAATTCAAACAAGAAATAATCTCCCAAGTAAAACAAGAAGTGACAAAAGAAATGAAAGAGATGTTGAATATATCTAAAGAAAACACAGTTTAAAAATTGGAGGAACTAAACAAAAAGATAGAATTCCAAGATGAGCAATATAAGAAACAAACAGAGTACACAAATCAGATGCACAGAGATATACAGCAAATCAAAAACTCCACTGAAAGCTGTAAAAGCTGCCTCAAAGAAAGTAAAGATAGAATTTCAGACCCCGATGACAAGATTGTAGCTAATGAACAGGAAAGGAAAGATCTTTTAAAAACAACAAAGAATCAGGAAGTAACAATTCAACAACTGCAAGACAGCACAATGAAAAACAAAATAAGATTGATAGGGATTAATGAAAAAGAAGGGGATGACACAAAGCATGCCAAGAGGATATTTAGAGAAGTAATAGCTGAAAATTTCCCAAGCATGAGATCAGAAACTGACATCAGGTTCAGTGAAGCATAAAGAATTCCAAATAGTCATAACCAAAGTAAAACTACAGCCAGACATATAATAATCACCATCCCAGAAATCCAACACAAGAATAGATTATTAAAAGCTGTCAGAGAGAAAAGACAGATCACTTATAAAGGAAAATCTATCAGAATTAAAACAGACTTCTCAACACAAACAATAAAGTCAAGAAGAGCAAGGAGTGAAGTAGTCCAGATCCTAAAGGAAAATGATTTCCAACCTAGATGGATGTACCCTGAAAAATTATCCTTCAAAATCGATGGTGGAATAAGATACTTCCATGACAAAGAATAGCTGAAGAACTTAATGATCACCAAGCCAACCCTGCAAAAAATATTGAAAGACAGTTTAGATACACTTAGGAAAATCCACTAAGCAAAGCAGATAATTAAAACAGAATAGAAAGATAAAGATGCAACAGCAGAAGATAACATGTCAACAATAAACCAACATATAACAGTAATAACCATTAATGTAAATGGTCTCAATGCACCAATTAAAAGAAACAGACGGGGAGAATGGATCAAGAAACAAAATCCAACCATATGCTGTCTACAAGAAACCCATCTAACACAGAAGGATATTCTCAGACTGAAAGTCAAAGGATGGAAAACAATACTTCATGCAACAAGAAACCAAGAAAGAGCAGGAATAGCCATTCTGTTTGAAGACACAGTGAACTTTAAACCAATAATGATCAAAAAGGACAAAGAAGGTCACTACATACTCGTTAGGGGAAAACTTCAAGAGGAAGAGATAACTATCTTAGATATGTATGCACAAAATTCCAAAGCACCCAGTTTTATAAAACAAGTATTAACAGAAATGAAAAATCAAATTATCAGTAACACAAATGTAATAGGAGGCCTTAACACACCATTGACACCAAAGGACAGATCAACCAGACAGAAAATCAGCAAAGAAATAACAGAACTGAATCACACATGTGAACAAATGGACTTGATAGAAATGTACAGTGTTCCATCCAACAACATCAGAATACACATTCTTCTCAGCAGTACATGGGTCATTCTCTAAAATAGACCATATATTAACTCACAGAACACATTTAAATAAATGCAAACAGCTGAAATTATACCTTGCATGTTATCGGATCATACCGCTTTGAAATTAGAAATTAATGATAAAAGATAATGCAAAAATCCCACAAATATAAGGAAACTGAATAACACACTCTTGAATAATCAGTGGGTCACAGGAGAAACTAAAGAAGAAATTAAAAAATATCTACAAGAAAATGAAAATACAAATACAACATACTGGAATCTGTGGGATGCCATGAAAGCCATTCTCAGAGGAAAATTTATTGCACTCAGTTCCCACATCAGGAAAACAGAATGAATACAAATTAATAACCTGATACTACACCTCAAACAGCTAGAAAAAGAAGAGCAAATCAAGCCCAAAGCCAAAAGAAGAGAGGAATTTATAAAAATCAGAGCAGAAATCAATGCAATAAAGACTAAAAAAAAAAAAATCCAAAGAATGAATAAATCAAAGAGTTGGTTCTTTGAAAGAATAAATAAAATTGATAAGCCCCTCGACAACCTTATTTTAAAAAGGGAAAAAAACCTCAATTTAATGCAATAAGAAATGAAAAAGGTGAAATCCCTACAGACTCTATAAAAATACAGAAGATTATCAACACCAATTTGGAAAACCTGTTCTCTCAAAGGTTTGATAAAACACAAAAAGTAGACAGAGTCCTAGCAACATATGAAGTACAAAAGCTAAGTCAAGAGGATGTAAAACTGCTGAAAACCCAATGTCTATTAATGAAATTGAAAATGTAATTAAGTCCCTACCTACAAAGAGGAGCCCAGGCCCAGATGGATTCACTGCAGAATGTTACAAGAAATACAAAGAAGACCTAAAGCCAACACTCCGCAAACTCTTCAATGAAATTGAAGGAGAAGCAATCCTTCCTAAGTCATTCCTGGAAGCAAATATTACTCTAGTACCAAAACCTGAGAAAGACCCAGCTAAAAAAGAGAACTATAGACCAATCTCCATAATGAACACACATGCAAAAATCCTCAATAAAATATAGGCAAATAGGATGCAGCAAATCATCAAGAAGATTATATATCATCACCAAGTGGGATTCATCCCAGGCATGCTGGGATGGTTCAACATACATAAATCAAAAACTGTAATGCACCATATCAACAAAGCCAAAAGTAAGAATCACATGATCATTTCTATAGATGCAGAAAAAGCTTTCGATAAGGTCCAACATTCATTTACAATAAGAATCTTCCAGAAAATTGGATTAGATGGTCTTGACCTCAATATAATAAATGCGATCTATGACAAACCAACAGCCAGTATCATATTAAATGGCCAAAAATTGAAGGCCATTAGTTTAAAATCAGGCACAAGACAAGGATGTCCTTTATCACCAGTCCTATTTAACATAGTACTGGAAATACAAGGCAGAACAATTAGACAAGAGAGAGAAATAAAAGGGGTAAAGATAGGGAAAGAGGAAGTTAAATTATCATTGTTTGTAGATGACATGATACTCTACATAGAAGACCCCCTAAACTCCATTGAAAGACTCTTAAATATAATAAATAAATTAAGTAATGTAGCTGGATACAAATCAATTCTGAAAAATCAATAGCATTTCTATACACCAACAACAAATTCACTGACAGAGTAATAAGAGAAGCCACATCCTTCACACTAACAACCAAAAAATGAAATATTTAGGAATTAATCTTACAAAAGAAGTGAAAGAACTATACAGGGAAAATTATAATACACTGAAAAAAGAAACTGAAAATGTTCTCAGAAAATGGAAATACATCCCTTGTTCATGGATAAGAAAAATAAATATTGTGAAAATGAACATTCTCCCAAAACTCTAATTCAGATTCAATACAACCTCAATAAAAATACCATCAACCTACCTCATAGATCTAGAGAAATCACTCCTAAAATTCATCTGGAGTGAGAAGAGACCTAGAATAGCAAAGAAAGTTCTCAGCAACAAAGACAAGTCAGGAGGCATCACAATCCCTGACTTGAAGTTATACTACAAAGAAACCATAGTAAAATCAATGCTATGGATTGAGAACTGGTGGTCAACTTAATGCCAGCTGGATTATATCAGCATGGCACTGAATGAAGTTGCTCCACCTGAGGAAAGTTTTCAGGATAAATAGGTGTAGAAGAAGGGAGATGAGGGTTGAGGTGTTAGGGAGCCATTGTGGGTTCTCCTACGATTTGCTGTCTGAGCTGTTGGTTCCCTTGGAGAGGTTTGGTCCAATCGAGCATTGCTTCCTGGCTTTGGAGGGGGAGACATATGCTGCTTGGCCTCCAGGATGAATTTGTCATGCTGCTTCCTGGCACATACCTGACAGTGCTTGTCCTCGGAGGAGCCCAGGGCCTCCGTGTCACTGAGGACACCTGTGGTGCCTTTCAGGATAGCCCTGGTCTTTGTTGTGAGTGTGACTTATGAGTATGGTCTCAAGTTGCGTCCATTTATTTATAAATATCTCAATGTGATCATTCTTTATAGCCCAGGAGTACTCCATTGCATAAAAAATACCACAACCTTTTTTATCCATTCTTCAGTTAATGGACAATTAGGTTGTTTCCAGATCTGGTTATTACAAATTGTGCTGCTATCAACATGGGTACACATATATCACTGTTGTATGATATTTTCAGTTCCTCTGGGAATATGCCTAGAAGTGGAATAGCTGGGTCGAATGGGAATTCCAATTCCAGATTCTTGAAGAATCTCCAGACTGATCTCCATAATGATTGCACCAGTCTAAACCAGTTCCTTTTCCCCCACAGTCACTCCAGCATTTGTTGTTGGTAGTTTTCTTGATCCTGGCCATTCTTTCTGGAATGAGATGGAATGTCAGTGTGGTTTTAATTGGCATTTCTCTAATGATCAATGATGATGAACATTTTTTCATGTATTTATTTGCCATTTGTATTTCTTCATCTGAGAACTGAGTATTCATCTCAGATGCCATTTTTGGATTGGGTCTTTGAATTTTTGGAGTCTGATTTTTTTTTAAAATTTCTTAACATGTTTTAGAGAGAAATCCTTTATCTGAGGGACAGTTCACTAAGATTTTTTTCCCAGTTTGTGGGTTTTCTTTTCACTCTGCTGAATATTTCTTTTAATATGCAGAAACATGTTAATAATATGTGATCCCAGTTATTGATTCTGCGAAGTATTTCCCATGCACTTTGATTCCTGTTCTTGAATTTTCTATCTACCCCAATGTCGTCAAGATTTTTACCTAATTTGTCTTCCAACAGATTTAGTGTTTCTGTCAGATCTTTGATCTATTTAGAATTTAGTTTAGTACATGGTGATAGCCATGGGAATAGTTTTAGTTTTCAGCATATGGAAAGCCAGTTTTTCCAGCACCATTTATTAAAAAGACTATTGATCTTCCAGTGAACATGTTAGGCCACTTTATTAAAGATAAAGTAGTTGAGTGTGTCGGTAGTTGTGATTGTATAATCTAATCTATTCTATTGATCGTCAGATCTGTTTTTATTCCAAAACCATGTTGAGTTTATTACAGTAGTTTTGTCATATAACTTCAAGTTAGGGATTGTGATGCCTCCTGCCTTGCCTTTGTTGCTTAGAACTGCTTTTGCCATTCCAGTTCTCTTCTGGTTCAAGATAAATTTTAGGAGTGATTTTTCTAGATCTATGTGGTTTGTTGATGGTATTTTTATTGGGATTGCACTGAATCTTTATAACAGTTTTGGGAGAATGGCCATTTTCACTATATTTATTCTTCCTATCCTTGAGCAAGGGTTGTCTTTCCATTTTCTGAGACCAACTTTGATTTCTTTTTCAGGGTATTATAATTTACCCTATATAGGTATTTTACTTCATTTCTGAGATTAATTCCTAAGAATTTCTCTCTTTTTTTTTTTTTTTGGATGCTAGTGTGAATGGTGTGGCTTCTCATTTTTCTCTCAATGATTTATTTGTTTGTGTATAGGAATGCTATTGATTTTTGGTACAGACTTTGTATCCAGCTACATTGCTGAATTTATTATATCTAGGAGACTTTCAATGGAGTTTTGGGGGTCTTCTATGTAGAATATCATGTTATCTGCAAATAATGATTATTTAACTTCCTCTTTCCCTATCTTTACCCAATTTATTTCTCTCTTTTCTAATTGCTATGCCTAGTATTTCCAGTACTATGTTGAATAGAAGCAGTGATAAGGGACATCCTTGTCTTGTGCCTTATTTTAAGGTAAAGGCATTCAATTTTTGGCCATTTAATATGATACTGGCTGTTGGTTTCTCATCGATGGCCTTTATCATATTGAGGTAAAGACCATCTTTTCCAGTTTTCTGTAAGGTTCTTATCATGAATGAATTTTACAAAAGCTTTTTTCTCCATCTATAGAAATGATCAGGTGACTCTTATGTTTGGCTTAATTGATATGTTAGATTACATTTATTAATTTATACATGTTGAACCAACCCTGCATTCCTGTGATGAATCCCTTGTGGTCATGATGTATAATCTTCATGATGATTTGCTGCATCCTGTTTGCCAATATTTTATTAAGGATTTTGGCATCTTTGCTCATTAGGGAAGTTGGGTTTTCATTCTCTTTCTTAGCTTGGCCTTTCTCAGGTTTTGGTCCTAGAGTAATATTTGCTTCCAGGAATGACTTAGGAAGAATTGCTTCCCTTTCAATTTCATTGAAGATTTTGAGAAGTGTCAGCATTCAGTCTTCTTTGTATTTCTTGTAGAATTCTGCAGTGAATCCGACTGGACTTGGGCTCTTCTTTGTAGATAAGAACTTAATATACATTTTCAATTTCATAAATAGAAATTGGGTTATTCAGAAGTTTTACATCTTCACCCAGCTTGGGTAATTCATATGTTCTAAGACATCTGTCCATTTCTTCTTTGTTGATGAACCTATGAGAGTCGAGGTTTTGAAATAGGTGTTGATGATCTTCTGTATTTCCACAGAGTCTGTGGTGATTTCACCTTTCTCATTCCTTAGTGCCTGAGTTTGAGCTTTTCCTTTCATTTTTATTATAAGGTTGGGTATGATCTTACCAATTTTATTTGTTGTTTCAAAGAACCACCTCTGTGATTCATTGATTTTTGGATTGTTTTCTTAGTCTAAATGACATTAATTTCTGCTCTAATTTTTAAAATTTCCTCCCTTCTTTTGGCTTTGGGCTCCACTTGCTCTTGTCTTTCTAGATGTTTGAGGTGTAGCATCAGGTTGTTTATTTATATTCCTTGTTTTCCTGATGTGGGAACTCAGTGCAATAAATATTCCTCTGAGGACAGCCTTCATTGCATCTCCCAGATTCTGGTAAGCTGTACTGTGTTTTTTATATAATTATAATTGTTTTTATATAATTTAACTATGTGTTTATCTTGGGTGTGAAAATGCATAAAGGCTTTCCCACATTGGTGACATACATAGGGTTTCTCTCCAGTGTGAATACTTTCATGTTGCTTACAACGTCCACATTGGGTAAAAAGTTTCCCACGCTGCTTACATATATATGGTTTTTCTCCAGTGTGAATTCTTTCATGTTCCTTACATTGCCCACTTGTGGTAAAACCTTTCCCACATTGCTCACATACAGAGTGTTTCTTTCCAGTGTGAATTCTTTCATGGTTCTTACACTGTCCACATGTGGTAAAACCTTTCCCACATTGCTGACATAAAAGAAATTTTTCTCCAGTGTGAATTCTTTCATGTTTCTTACTATTTTCATGTTGGGTAAAAGCTTTCCCACATTACTTACATACATAGGGTTTTTCTTCACTGTGAATTCTTTCATGTTTCTTACACTGTCCATGTGCGGTAAAAGCTTTCCCACATTGCTTACATACAAAGGTTTCTCTCCAGTGTGAATTTTTTTCATGATTCTTACAATCTCCACCTGTATAAAAAGTTTTCCCACATAAATTACATACATATGGTTTCTCTCCAGTGTGAATTCTTTTATGTTTCTTATAATCTCCACATGTTGCAAAAGTTTCCCACATTGCTCACATACATATGTTTCCCTCTATTTTGATATTTTTCATGGATCTGAATATCATAGTTTGTGTCTGTTTCTTTCACAACCATATTTTCTGGAGTACAAAGGAATACTTCTTTATACTGATTGCAAGATGTAAGTCCATAGTATTTTCCTACCTTGTCATTTCTGTAAAGAAATAAATTACATATAGGACTGATAACTATATTACTAAGTTTTTGTTGGGTATTTAAATAGAACTCTTTGCAGTCTAGCTGTTTGAGACCCCACTTTATATGCTTCAATTTTGTGTCTTAAGCAACTACTTACAAGTGGATATCATGTAATCATCAACATGTTACTTCTTATTTATTTTTTTTCTTTGAGAGTAGTATAATTTCTACCCATTTTCTGTATTTAGTCTTTCTTTAAATAAAATTTAAAATAGGAAAAAAATCACACTGAAATGGGTCTCTGTACTAATGACTGCCTTAATGACAAGTTCAGTTTTGATGCCTGCTAAGAAATTCTGGCAATGAAGTAACTGAATGCCTTGCAAGATATTTGGAAAACAACCATTTCCAAAAGAGTGGTATACATTTGGGAATCTTAAAAGTTTGTATATTTTGAAATGCAAAACATTTAGCTTCACTTTGGGCATGGGTCTATATGTGTATCACATATTGATCATTCTGATTTTTCCCCAATAGCCATCTCCTTTCTGTCCTTAGCCTGTAGTTCCCTTATCCAAATGATCAGGCTTACCTTTCTGTATCAACTCTCTTTCATTTCACCCCACAATTTATATTTTGGTGTCTCATCTAACAGAAACACTGTGACCTTTTACATTTTGTAGCTGAGCTATTTCACTGAACTTGATGGGAGGAGCAACCAATTATTTTTATGGCAAATGACATTACATTATTTATTTTTCACTGATTACATAGCACATATTTTATTGTTTTCCATACTCAAAATCAGCCACAGGTGTCAGCACTAAATGTCTAGCTTCTTTATTTTAAGAGATTTTCACTGATGATTAAGCTTTTAAGTTTGAACTTGAATTTGCCATTCTGCAAAATCTTATTCCCAGGGTGCTGGGTTTACAAGAATGCACACTCACACAGAAACTATTAATATTTTCCTTCTCCACAAATCCAGTGATAGCTAAGCTGCTTCAAGGCCTCATCTGTTATAACTTGATCTGCTTTGCATATGAATAAGCATGTATCTGTATTTTATGTTTGTTTTGACTCTTTTGAAAATACAATTCAGGAGAAGTATGATGGGATCAACTTCTAGAGACTACTGCATAATGATTTTCAGTGTAACTTCACTTAACATAACACCAGTCTACTAAGAATTTTAATTAGAAGGGACTGATTCTCTTGAGAATGGCTTTGAAACATGAGCATTCATTTATATTTCAAATTGTGCTGCAGTTTTAGCAATTTTTTGATAATGATTGTTTTGTACTCAAATGTATACATGGGTAGGTAAACTGAAGGTCGGATCCTATCAAAACTCAAAGTGTATGTTTTTTATACTCATTTATATGCAATTTTATACATTTTCAAAGGTTTCCTCCATCACATCTCTGTAGACTTTCTTTTGGGATGGACTCAGCAAAGTCCACTCCTCACTGCTGAAGTTCACAGCCACATGAGAAATACACATGTATTTCTCAAAAGAAGTTTGAGACTCAAGCCTGGGACATCTTAAATTCTCTCATAAAAATGTGAATCAAAAACTAAGTATGGTCATGCATATCTTTAATCCCAGCAATAAATAGGCTGAAACAGGAAGGCTGCTGTGAGTTCAAGGCAATTCTAGCCTACATAGGGGGTCCAAATACAGCTGATATACATAGTGAAAGCCTGTCTCAATAAAACTAAACTTAACAAATCTTAATTCCATGTCTCTGTCATTAATTTTGTGCATATACACATTGTTTGAGACAGTAATTTTGATGCTAGATTGCAACTCATTTTTAATGTAACAGTTAAAAAGGAGCATTGATTTTGGGCTGAGTCACTGCAAGAGTCCCTGTGCACTGTCTCTAAAGCAGAGCTCACAATGGGAGGCTGCAGGACCAGCATTCACAAAGCACAAAGGCAGACAAATATCTCATCAATAACTTTGATAGATTACAGATGATATCTCTTCAAATCTTATTTAGGCCACTGAGTTATTTGTTCTTAATATACTTAAGAAGCATTTTGAAATTTGAAATACATTTCATAGAACAAAACATAAATAAAATGAAATGTGGTACCTAAATTATAACTCAAATGTTAATGGAAAATTGTTTATGTAAACAATGTATAAACAATGGAACCAGGCACAAGTTGTAAATTATAGCTTAGTGTCACCAAGTGATTACCTTTCACTCAGATATAAGAAATATATCTGGGGAGGATGATTCAGGAGTAATGCCTTGAGATTGAGGCCAACCTCAGTTACAGAACTGTATGAAATAGAGAGGTCCTGACTGTAAAATCCCACAAAGTGAAACTTGAAAACTGACTGCATAAGACACTTTTGGTTTGATTTCAAAAACTATAGCTGTACATTATAGTAAAATTCCAACAACATTCAACACTTTCTGAGGAATAATTTTGACATGTTCCATAGTATACAGAAAACATATTCATTGCTGGCTATTTAGCTTAGTAACATGAAATCCTGCCTGGCAAGTATGAGGTCATGAGTTCAATCTGTGTTTCAAAAAAAAAAAATCAAATTTCACCTTCATGACACTGAGGCATAAGTAGAGATAATCAAAATTACATCTCAAGTATGGAACACAGAATTCATGGGTTTCAAGGATGTAGAATACTGATTGTTGCCAGAGCTGGTGTTATTCACCTCAAGGAAGCAATCAGAACCCAACTTCAACTTCATGCTTATCCTAAGAACTACCTGATTTTCAGTGAAGACCCTCCCTGTTGTATGTCCTGCTATTGGCACCCTGCATCATACCAATCACTTCCACATCCTTTCGATGCTCCTCTGATCCACCCTAAGCAGAAAACGCTTCATGCCTAACTATTGATATCCCTGCAAAATTTCAATTTAGAGCATCTCCTTTACGTCACTTAGTAAAGTCCATTGCAGAGCATTTCCATATTTAAACAATGTCTATGATCAACCAAGCTATTAAATCAGCTGTTAATTCAGAGATGACACCCATATTCCTTTCCATTCAGAAGGATATCACATCCATGCAAATGTCTTAAACTTAGGCATTTTCAATAAGGATTTAACAGGCATCCCATTTTGGAATTTGTCCTTAGCAAGAACATTTTACCCTGCCCTTGATAACACTTTCATATCTACATCATTTTTCACAGAATTCAAAACTGTATGGCTGTTCTCACAAACCTTGTCTTTGAGCAGGGGTGTCACCTAAATATTTAACTATGTTCAGAAATTCTTTGCATTGTTCTGTATAATACACAGGAGTTCACCAGGTGCTTGGGAAGCCTTCCTCCACTGAGGCACACCACTACAAATCTCTGAATTCTCAGGACCCTTTCCAAAACCTGTCATAAGAATGGAAATATGAGAACATACTATAAATTTACGTGATCACTATAGATACAAAAAAGCACAAGTTTAAGGAATGCTTTTGTGGCTATGAGGCCCTGCATTACAGACATTTATAAACTTCAGACAATTAAGATTTGCTGCTACCTAAAATGAGAACAGAGACCAAGTTCAGTACCATTACACCAATTACAAAACGCATCAGAGTCAGTGTCTCTCTAATATCCTTACCCTGTCCACTATCGTGGAGGTGCCAGGGCAGTAGAGAATTTCAAAGATGATACTAGAGTCTGTTGCTGTCATAGTGAGGTCAGGGTTCTGGGGATGCAGAATCACCCTTACCCCCAGTAAGAGTCAAAAGGGACAGTGGATGACCCATGGCCAATGCTGGAGGACCTCAGGAGGTGAAGTTAACTAAATATCTGAGGCTCCAGACACCAGAACTGCTTCTAACCCCTTGTAACTGATTTTGCCCAATTCCACCCTATTTCTGTGTTCCCATCCACAACCTCTGCATCCTGTGGCTAGAGGGTCTCCAAGGTTCTTTGCTAATCAGGCCACAGGATATTGAAAGCACTAAATGAGATCCAGCAAGCATTCTGCTCCCAGTTTTGTGCTCAGAACAAGTAGATAATGCCTAGACACTGGAAGAAACCTAAGAGACCACCTACCATGTCCTGCCTGGTTGGACTTTTCATATAGCCCGCCTCTTCATCACTGATTGACTCCTGATCTACTGCCCTCCTTCTGAGTCAAAATAAACAGTGAAAGGAGCCCCTCCTTGCAAGAGAGGACCTCAAATGATAGACTATAGTGCAGAGATTTCTGGAGTTGGCTGTCTACTACGGTGTTGATCGCAGCTCGATAGTGCAATATTTCTGTCAAAGAGCTTTACCTCAGGCTTTTTATTTCCAAACCCATTTGGTTTCAAGGATAAAAAGAAAACATAAACTAAAACGAATTTCAAAACATGTCAAACAGGGGAAAACAATGGTATATACATTGTACACTGTCATCCCCAAATCGTTCACCCAGAGCACAAGACATCTGTATTCAATTTTCTGAACAATAGTGTTATGGGAAACTGCGTTAGTCAAATACCACTGGCAGTGAGACAGGGTTAGGTCCTCCAATGAGCCCATGCAGAAGCGCAGACAACTTGCAACTATGGAGAAGATGGACACCTCCTGCTATGGGCCAAGCCTCAAGACAGAAAATCACGCAAATTCATCCATACCCTAAGGACTGATATTCTAAATAGTTCCCTATGACTCTGAGGGAGTGAGGAGTCACCATTCAAATAAATGTATCTCTATCTCAAAGACTGATATTCTAAATAGTTCCTATGATCCTGGGGATGTTGGGAGTCACCATCCCAACCTCCTAAGGGAAGAGTCACTGCTGTCTAAGAATGCCTGCTTTCTATGTGACTCCTTTCCCCATTTGTTCCCATTTAATCAGCTTTATCAGAACTATTAATCTTATTGGCTGCCATAGATCTGTCCCATCTTATGTCCATCTGCATTGTGAGTTCCCAGTTTTCCACACCTTCAACCCATCTCACCACATGAATTTACTCTATAAAAGTTCCTACAAAGACAGTTTTTACCAAACCACTCAGAAACACTTGTCTTTCTCAGACAGCTTTCTTTCTCCCAATAAGTATATTCTACTCTTAACATCTGTTGTTCCTAAAATTCAGTTATTGATTTCAAAGAATACAAACTCATACCAGACATAGTAGCTCAGATGTCTCATTCTCCTATAGTAACACCGTATAAATTTTTCTCTTTCTTGAAGTCAGAGAAACAGTAATAGTTGTCTTCTTAAATGTTCATCTGACCTTTTAAGGGACACTTGCATTGAAGGAGTTTATACCTTCCTTTCCGTGCTTCTTCTGTTTTCTGAAAGAGAACTAATCTGTAGTTTTGTTTATGGTATATACAATGCATTAAGGAAAAGACTAAAAACTTTTCTTGTGTGTTGTTTACCAACATCCATGGAAGAAGACACATAGCCAAAATACTTTATTTTCATTTCTTCAAAGTGAAGGATGTACTCGAAAGTGTTTTGCCCTAGAATAAATCACAGGACATCATGGTGGTAGGTCATCAGGGTGAATGGCCAAATCAGGGATGCTTACCCATATGGCTACTTCTACTTTTTCCCTAATTACAGCTTCCTCATTCCTTTCCCAGGTGCCCCAAAAAATTCATTTGGAGTGATCTTCTCAAGTGCATGCTGACCACAGTTAGAAAATCCGAGAATCTACTAACAGTGTTAATGGGATTTTGAGTCCTACTTACTGTGAAAGAAACTGCAGGCTAGGAAGGTGGCAGGCAGCTTAACTAGAGTGACTCTTTCTATGAAGTGTCTGAAGACCAAAGCCGAACATTTTATTCCATGAATACACAACATTGCTACCAATTGCCAACTCAGGATAATATACACCTGTAATCCCAGCACTCTGGGAGGGGGAGGAAAGATGAGGAAAGTTTTAAGCCTAGCCTGGGACACTTAGAAAATTAGTGAGACCATGTCTTAAAATTTGTACAAAACAAAAGCTTTTACAAATGTAGGAAAATATTGATCATTAAGAAATCTCAGAAGTCACTGAACAAAGTACATTAACCACTATTAATCTATACTTATTTTATCTTTTATAGACTTAAAAAGTGTATCTTTATATGATTCTTATTATTATTTCAAAATAAAAATAGTAATCACTTGCTCAAATTCTGGTTCTAAATATAAATTTAGGACAGAAAAAAAAACCAGAATGATCAAAATCTCTTCATACTGAACTACCCAAATCTTAAGAGGATATATTCAGCAGCATATCTGCAGTCATCTAAGTAAAAAGCATTAAAAAATTGAAAGAGTATAAACAGCAGGAAGCACATCAATGTATCCATGATGGTAAACCTTATGCTAGGTGTGCTGACCAAAGTACACGTGCAAAAGAACCTCACAAAGATTTGATTTCTCACTAGAAAGGCGATTTTTGACTTTTCATTTTTATATTTTTTTCACTCTCTCTTTCTTCTTTCCTTTTTTCTTCAGACAGGGTTTTGCTATGCAGTTCAGTCTGGCTTTGATCTTCCCTTGTAGTCCTGGATGATCTCAAACTCACAATCTTCCTGCCTCAGCCTTTGGAGTCCTGGAATGACAGGTGTGCACCAACACCTCTGATTGTGCTTTCCTTTTTAAATTTTCTCCAAAACAAAATTGCTCAGACTTATGTGATATTCTCAAAGTTCATCAGGTTGGTTACACAAAATCAAATCAGAAAGCACTGAAAACACTGAGGGAGTTTTGAAATCCTTACCAACATCTAACATAACACAACAGAGCATAGCATAGTACAGCATAATAACACAAAATAAAATAATAAAAGGAAGCACATAACTCTACTTTAAACATCTGCTTCCAAAGATACAGTAAGAATTTCTAAGTTATCCATACACCAGCAATATGTTGCATTTTCTTTGAAATAAATGTTGGTATCCACTCAAATACTTGTGTAAGAATGGGTGTGGCAGCTTGCTTTCTTTGTCCAACCCGGAAACATAACAAATGGCCATCACAGGATGGGTGACAGGTACATGAAAAGTCAAATTTGCTTGGTTCAGCCCCATAATAGTGGGAGGTGGCAGCACAGGGTGACAGCATGGATACACTGCTTCAAGGAGACCAACCAAAGAGTACTGCAACTGAAAAGGCTCAGTGCCATCACCTCTAGGAAAGGCAAACTACCCATCAGCGACACAAAGCCTATGGTCTGATTGGGATGGGAGGAAAGGAATTGATAGCAGCAGCTATGAGACAAGTTCCCCAGGAGCTATGCACATGTGTCCTTCATCAGTACGGGATGATGATGTCACCTCCTCTTGTATGCACCACCTGCTGCCCCCCCTCACAGGAGGTCAGAGTGTGGAGTACTACAGTGTATGGCTGAGTTAAACATCTAAGGATGGATAAATAATCATTCATAAGCATGTGAGAGTAGAACTGGCTATGAATCCTCCTCCCCTGGACACATGGGGGTTATGAGATCTTCACATTCTTTGGTAAAATTATTATGGGTTTTCTGCTCCCTAATGGAACTGAAAGGAAACTAACACAAGCCCAGGAAAGGAAGTCATCCTAACATTTGACAAATCTTTAACAGAAGACAATGAGTCCTTCATCCTCTGAGACAATGGACCCTTTGGATGGAAATTTGTGTTTGGCACCCAGCCTGACACATCTGAAGCATCTACATGTTTGCTGCATTAAAATCTTCAAAGTGTAATAAAGTCTAAAAGTATACACAGTTTTTCTAGCATTTTAACTTCTTGTTTCTAAGGAGGACATAGATTTGTTCCACAACAAAAAGAAAGGTGATATCACAGAGGAAGGCCAAACTCTGGACCCCAGTGCATGACCTTACTTCCTTGGAGACAGGTCCAAACAGAACTCTGAAGGCTCAGGCCAGCAAGCACGTTGGTCTGGTGAATTTGTCTTCACAGACAGTTGGCTCTAGAGAGTGAACAGGGAGCATGTTATGCTGCTTTCCCAGGACACAAGACCCCAGCCTTAGGATCTCGCATAGGTAGAACATGTGGGAATGACTGAAAAAGTGGTTCACTCATTCCACAGCCTTCAGGATGATTGCTGGCAAATGCCAAATGACAAGGGCATTAAACAACTGGGCTCACTGTCCCCAGCCTTCAGGGCCCAGAGGCAGGAGGGAGCCCAGGAGAGGTGTCACTAGACTCAGCCACCAGCCACTCAGACACACGGAGTCCAGCAGAGGTACATTAAAGCCTGGCCACCACTATGAGTCTCCCTACACAATTCCTGCCCTAAGTCAACATTGTGACTGGGTCTGATGACACGCCTTGAGGGCAGATCCTCCTGGGCAGGTGCAGGTCCTTGGAAGCTGAACCCAGCAGAGAATGTCAGGAGGCTGGTGGTATGCACATCACCATCTCAATAAGGCCGATGTTTATTCAGACACTGGAGGTAAAATATGGAAATGCTTTAATAACAAAAAGAGTTGAAATAAAATATCCTGAATATGCACTTAATATACCAATTCTAAACTAGGCTTGGTGGCTCTTGTGTGGAGCCCAGTACTTGAGACACTGAGAAAGGAGAATTGTTTGAGACCACTCTGGGTTATAATGTGACCTCAAAGCCAGTCTGAACTTCATAGCAACATGCTTCCTCAAAAAGATAAATACATCAAATCTAATGAATGTAATAGTGTCCTAGTGATGGCCTTGTGACATTAGCATGACTATCATATTTATGATGACCTGTAGTCTACTAGGAAAACCTAAGTTACAGCACAATTCACAATAAAATATCACATCACTTATCAAACGGAGTACACTGGTGAGTATTTGTTGTTCATCATTGGTATTTGGTGGTGATGGAGCAGTGATTGCTGCTGCTCTTCACAGGAAAATGACTATTGCTGCAGTAACAGGAATCTGCATGCATCACTGCAATATGTCCTTAACTCTTTGAGGAAGAGACCCACTAAAGGAAGCACTGCACTAATGAGAATTACTAATTTTAGTCTTTTGAATACTTTAAAAACTGACTTCAGTAGTAGTTGAACTACTTACCTACATTTCCACCAACAAGGTTAAACAGTTCCTTTTCTCCTTTAGTCTCATGAATGTTCTTTAGATCTTGTGGTGATTAGTTCTCTTTGCAATGAGATGATGTCCCTATTTGCATTTCTCTATTGTGCAAAAGTGCTCAATAGTTCTTCAGGTATTTCTTGGCAATTTGTACATATTCTGAAAAATGTGTGTTCCTTTTATGTTCCTATTGGTATTACATGTTAGCTGTCAGGGAGTCACAGGCAAAATTTCTCTCATTCTTTAGTTTACTTCTTCATCCTTTTGGTTTCACTTTTTTTGTGATTTCTATGTTCATGCAGGAGGATTAAAATCTTACAAAGTCCTTTTTGCTTGTTTTGTCACCCTACCTTATTTTCTACACAAAATAGCAGCAATAGTATTAATAAAAATGTTTTTTAATACTTCTACATTCAGAACATGGAATGTCTGGTCCTTTCTTGTTTCACTATGTTTTACTCTAATAGAGGCATATTTGAGACTGCTGCACATATTACCAAAAAAAGTACATTTCCTGAGTGAAAGAAAAATCACAATTTGCAGTAGTGATTCTTTTATCCTATTGTACATTTATATTCTTGACCTTGACTTACTTGTTTCCTTAAACTTCAAATGCAGGGATAAAAACAATTTGCTTCACATTCTGCTAAATCATCTAGCAGTTGCCTCCCAAAGTCAGCTTCAAAGCCAAGATCATCCCACCTCATTCTCTCCTGATGCTGGGACTAAAGAAATCACCTTTAGCCTAATCTTTATAGGTAACTCCTTACCAATGCAATTATTTAAATACAAAATGATCAAAAATTGCATACTTTTTGTTAGTTTTTATAAAATAACAAGGAATATAAAAGTGACAATTCTACTGTATTCAATAGAATGCATGTATTCATACTGTACACAGGCCAATAGAATGAATGTATTCATACTGTATTCAAGAATGAATGGGTTACATTGACAACTGACCCCAATGATGCTCAGGATAAACTGCATAAACAAATGTGCTTCCCAAGTGATTCTCAGGGATAACTGCTAGGTGGCCAAGTGATAAAAGGACAACTAATGATGTGTAATTGTGAGTATTAAAAAATACTCACAGAAAGAGAGGAGATCTAAAGCATTAAGCTACATCTGCAGAACTTGAAGATATATGTTGAGATAAGTTCACACTAATTTGTACGTTGGACTCAACTTCCTCTTCCACTAATTTAAGCCAACTGCAGTGCTAGGATTACAAGCATGCATCAACAGGACCAGTAAGACTTACTTTCATGATAAAATGAGAAAGTGCATGTACTCAGGATATATGTCTTATAGATTCAGTATACTATTATTAGCTGTAATACAAACTCCAAATTTTCCCATTGATGGTAAGCAGAAATGTGCTGCAGGGAATCCAGCCACATGCTATAGCGCATAGAGGCTGACAATGTACTTCACAGTATCTTTTACTTTGTGAAGTACATCAGGTTCTTCAGGTACAAAATAGATATAATTTTAGTGGTGATTGCACAACAGGCAATTTATTTTCTCAATGATAACTGAGACTTGGGCAAGCCATCTTCACTGGATTAGGGGTATTTAATGCAATGTTCACTTGTGTTTGCATGAAACCTCAGTTTTTAACAACAGAATTCTATTGGAACCTAAGCAGATTTTTTATTCAACAACACTGCAGTATCACTTTACAAATTACATGAATGTTAAAATGGAAGTGAAAACCACAGGCCACAGGAAACCAACTGGGTCTTATGGCCCAGTGTTTAAAGATATGTGTTTAAAGATAATCGGCACACACCACAAACATCGGGCACTAGTCCTTATAAATAAAAAAATATGCCATTGTATAAATTCACAATTTAGTAAAACAGAACACAATCTGAATCTTAATTTGCAAATATACTTTTTACTGTGTTGACAGCTCAAAATTTAGGTTTCCCTTTATGCCATTACTTCAGTGTTTTAGTAAAAAGCAGTAATAATGACAAAATGTATAATGCATTCACAGCATCAAGGAATAAAATAAAGGCATTTTCATGATATATCCAATAACAACCTTTTCCCCCAAAACAACTCCACATGTAAGAAAAAATGATTTCAAAGTATGGTTACTCATAAATCAGCCAAATTTTATAAATTCTGGAGACATTAATACATTTTGTGATATGTTATTGGAGACAAGTTATGGTTCTATCAGTATGTGGCAATCAGAAATTCACAGTAGTATGGTTCACTTTTGGTACATGTGGGGAAACATTACTAGCAAAGAAAAGATGTAATATAAACATAACAGGTAAAATTCTGATGGTTAGAAAAACAAAGGTTTACTTAAATGACAAATATTGGCTCCACTGAGAAAGAAAATCAGGCAACATAATGTGCATGGTATGATATCCAGTGATGTTAGGAAATCAGCAGGTATCTTGTCTCATCACAACATGGAAAACATAACATACATTAATGTACAACTTATGTGAAAAGAACACAACTTTGTCAAAAACATATGCTCCAAGCCTCTATAAATGTATATCTTAATGCCAAAGATTGCATCAACTTCAGAAACATCATTTATGAAAGAGAAAATGAAGCATGTGCATCAAAAGATTAAAGCAAAATCTGTGCTAAAATTATAATTCACCAAAAAATAGGAGACTAGACTAATATCACTCTGAACAGTGAATAATAGTATTACACGATTTTATATCATAATGCTACAGAATTAGCATTGGGTTTCTTAGTGTCTCTTCTTCTTCAGAGTATCTGTTCATTACATTGTGTATTATATTATTTGTTCCCATAAATAGGTTAGAAATTACTCCCATGTGTGAATCTCTATGTGTATATCTATCTTTTCTGTATTATGGGGAAAAACAGATCAAAACAAGACAACAAAACCAATTCCTAGAAAATCATGATATGTAAAAGATATATAAGACCACAATATGAGGTGATGTACAGTATTACTATGCTTTCTCTTATTCTTTTCAATAGAATTGTCCACATCATCAGGCACTATATAGTTCAGCAAAACATTACATAGCTATTTGTATAAAAATACAACTTTGAAGACATTGTAGGACGTGAAAGCAGTTAATAATCAAACCTGGAATGGATATCTTTTATTTATTTTTTTGGTACTGGGGATCAAACTCACGACCTCACACTTGCCAGGTAGGTGCTTAAACCACTGAGCTAAATCCCCAGCCCCCCAATAGATATCTTTTACATCTTGTCATCTTCACAGTAGTTGCCTCTACTCTTGGACTTGATACCAGCAAGCATACCAAATGTGAATAAAAACAGTCAAGGCCAAATAGCATTCAAACAAACCAGTTTCAAATAAGATCAGTCATAGAAGATAATGTAAGTAATACAGGCTTTCAGTTTAAGTTAATTGGAAATTAAGGATAGTTACCATGGTATAACCTGCTATTTTTGGGTTATCTCTCTGTGCCCTCAAATCTAATATGAGTAACAGACCAGAACAAAATATAATCAAACTAAACAGAGCAATAAGACTACTGTAGCTTTTAAATCCTGATACACTTTTAACAGTGTCCTCTGCCTTTTCTTTTAGGCAATTCCTCATGCTTCTCCTTCTCTGAATACTACTATGCACTGTTCAGAGTGACATTAGTCTAGTCTCTTATGTTCAGTTTCAGCATACATAAAGATAAAGACATCTACTACAAAGAGAATGACAGACATTATGGTAGTCATTATTGACGTCCCCAAAATCAGTCTTAAAGACCGAAAAAATCTTGCATCATCCTGTAATTATTTGATTAGTTCTATAATGTTCAGTATATATTCAATGTGTGTGAAAATGGGAACAACTATTTGGAAGAAAACTAGACAGTAAGATAGACAGTGAACATCTCCAGTGGACTTGTTTTGAAATCTGTTTCCTTACCTTGTTTCTTTATGAACTGTTGTCTTCTGTTTCGTCATGTTTAATCTTACCCTCTTTAAGAAAAAAACAAGTGTGTAGGACAGATAAGCATATTAATAAGTTTTTGTTGGATCATTGAGGTGAACTGTTCGCAGTGTCATTATTTGAATATAACTTTGTAGGCTTTAATTCTGTAACTTGAACAACTACTTCTAAGATGACAATATGTAACTAATCAACTAGTGATTTCTTATTGTTTATTTTTCTGAAACTCTGTATTATTTCTACACTTTTTGTTTTTTCTTTAAATAAACATCATAATTCACCAAAATATAAAAATTAAGATTTAAAGACAAAATATTAAGTACATAGACACTATACATACTTGAAAGTGAAAAGCTCGTTTCAGTTTATCATGTTTAATTACAAGATGCCATGTTGAAGCACAAAGACACTTTAAAAAATCTAGAGAGGTACAAGTGATTGAGTAGAGCTCCACCTCAGATTTGTTGTTTCTGGAAAATTTATGAACAAATATTGACATCAAACTTCTGTATTGATTATTTCTTCAGGTCTCCTCGGGATTTTTAAAATAAACTTAGATCTAAACTGTCTGAATAGTGACAGTTTTTCTATGTATTTAACAACAAACTTGCATTGCTGTATTTCTCACATTGATAATCCACACAGGATCCTTGCCCAGTGAGCTCTTTCAGATATGTAACAATGATCATGTGTGCTGAGAGTATTCCCATAACACATATGATTTATCTCTTGTGTAAGTTTCTTCACGTATTTCACTTAAAATCTGGCTGCTGAAGTGTCTCCATTTGCTTACATAGCTAGTGCTTCTTCCCAGTGTGAATTCCTTCATGTGTTTTGCAATGACTGTATGCGGTAAAAGCTTTGCCACATTGTTATATAAACAGGGTTTCTCACCAGTGTGAAGTCATTGATGTATTTTACAGTATCCATGTGTGGTGAAAGCTTTCCCACATTCTTCACATACACAGGGTTTCTCAAGAGTGTAAATTGTATAATGTATTGGACAATGAGCATTTCTGCTGAAACCTTTCCCACATTCCTTACATATATAAGTTTTCTGCCCAGTGTGAAGTTTTTCATGCATTATGCAATATGTATGTGTGCTCAAACCATTCTCATGATGCTTATATATACTGGTTTTATCTTGAGTGTGAACTTTCATGTTGCTTACAATGTCCATGTAGGGTAAATCTTTCCCACATTAATTATACAGATGGTTTCTCTCCAGTGTGAATTTGTTCATGTTGCTTACAATTTCCAGAATTGGTAAAACCTTTTCCACATTGCTTATATACATAGGGTTTCTCTCCAGTGTGAATTCTTTCATGAACCTTACAATGTGCACGTGTGTTAAAAGCTTTCCCACATTGCTTACATACATATGGTCTCTCTCCAGTGTGAATTCTTTCATGAAACTTACAATATGCACGTGTTTTAAAAGCTTTCCCACATTGCTGACATACATAAGGTTTCTCTCCAGTGTGAATCCTTTCATGAACCTTACAATATGCATGTTTGTAAAAAGCTTTCCCACATTGTTACATAAATAGGGTTTCTCTCCAGTGTGAACATTTCCATATATTTGACAATGAATGTTACTGCTAAAATCTTTCCCACATTTCTTACATATATACAGTTTCTACCCAGTGCGAAGTTTTTCATGTATTGCACAATAAGCACGTGTGCTGAAAGCTTTCACACAGTGCTTACATTTATAACATTTTTCTCCGGAGTGAAGACTTTTATGTACTTGACAATATGTATGTGTTGTACAAGCTTTCCCACACTCCTTACATATGTAGGGTCTTTCTCCTCTGTGAATTCTTTCATGTTTCTTACAAATTCCATGTGTGGTAAAACCTTTCCCGCATTGCTCGCATACATAGGGCTTCCCTCCACTGCAATATTTTTCATGGATCTGAACATTGTGGTATGTTTCTGTTTCTTTCACATTCACATTACCTCCTTCAGTACAAAGGAATACTTCTTTACATTGATTCCAAGATGTATGTCCATAGGATTTCCTTAGCTTGACATTTCTGTAAAGAAAAAAAATCACATATGGGATTGATAACCATATTACTAAGCTTTTGTTGGAGAATTGAACAAAACTGTTTGCAGTCTTGTTGTTTGAATCCCTATTTCATATGTTTCACTTTGTATTTGATTAACTATTTCTATGAACAGCATATGTAATCATCTTCTTGCGATTTCTTACTGTTCATTTTCACTTTGAAAGTAGTACTATTTCTACTTACTTTGTTTTGTTTAATCTTTCCTTACATTAAATTTAAAAAAAAGAAAAATTCACAGTGAAATGTGTCTCTGTTTAATGACTGCATTAATGCCAAGTTCTGTTTTTAATGCCTGCTAAGAAATTCCGACCTTGAAGCAACAGAATGGCCTTGTAAGATATGTTGAAAACAACCATCCCCAAAAGACCGGTACACATTTGTAAATCTCAAAAGGTGGTACATTTTGAAATGCAGAATATTTACCTTCTCTTCTGTCATGGGTACTTATGTGTATCACAGACAGATCATTCTGATATGTTTCCCCATCACAATCACCCTTCTGTCCTTAACCTGTAGTTCAGTCTTACTTTTCTCTATTAACTCTCTTTCACTTCATTCCACAATTTTTATTTTGGTTACTTATCTAAAAGAAACCCTGTGAACTTTTAGGTTTTATAGCTGAGTTATTTCAGTCCATTGATGGGTGAAAGGCCCACCTCTTTCTTATGGCAAATGACATTATATTATTTATTTTTTGACATTATATAACACATTTTTTCTTTTCCAGGCTGGAAATGGACAACAGGTATTAGCATAAAATCTATAGATTTTTAAAATCTGTTTTAAGAGATTTTCACTGATTATTAAGCTGTGAAGTTTGAACTTGAATTTGCCATTCTGCAAAATCTTATTCATAGTGTGCTGGGTTTACAAGAATGCACAATCACAGAGAGTCTATTAATATTTTCCTTCTTCACAAATCCAGTGATAGATAGCTAAGCTTCTTCAAGGCCTGATCTATTATAACTTGATCTGCTTTGTATATGAGTAAGCCTGTATCAGTATTTTATGCGGATTTTGAGATTTTAAAACTATATCCAGGAAAAGTATGAGGGGATCAATTTCCAGAGACAACTGCATACTGATATTCAAAATGAGTGCGCTAATATTCCACCAGCCTACAAAGAATTTTAATTAGAATGGCTGATTCTCTAGAACATGGCTTGGAAACACAAGCACTCAGTTTTATTTCAAATTCTATTGCAATCTCAGCAATTTTTAGATAATGAATATGTTGCATTCACATTATATATCAGTAGAAAAACTGAAGGCAGAATATCATAACTCAAAGTGTATGCCTTTCGTATACATCTACATGCAATGTCATACATTTCTATGATTTAATTCACTCATTATACATACCTAGTTTATACATCTTCGGAGAATATTACTGACATTTAATTGAATAGTGGTCATTTTTCTGCTGACTCACTAATTACTCAGGAACATTCCTTCTCCTTGTGAGTGTGGATTACCTTAAGTATCTACAGTAAATTTTGCATTCTTTTTCAGCTTCCTGGATATCCCCAAGTCCTCCTGAATTGTAGACATAGAAATACCAGGACTCAGTTGAGTAATACATACAAATTAATAGGTTTTGTTTAAATATATGATATAACATGTCCAAATCTGAGATAGTTTTTAAAATATTTTCACATTCTTTTTAATGAAACAGCACTGATGAGCAACAAACAATATTTGGACAGCATGACTGACAAAAAGATTTCATCCTTACCTATCGCAATCATGTTCCTAAAAGTTTCACCCATCACATCTTTGTAGAGGTTCTTTTGCAATGGAATCAGCAAACTCCAATTCTCATTGCTGAAATTCACGACCACATCCTCAAAGTTCACCCCCGCTGAAGGATCATTCATATATTCCTCAAAGGAAGATTGAGACCCCAGATTTGGTATATCTTAAACTCTCTCCTACAAATCTGATTCAAAAGCAAAGTGTGGTGGTCCATATCTACAATCCCAGCACTCAAAAGACTGAGACAGGACGGCTTCGGTGAGGTCAGGGCAATTCTAAGCTCCATAGGGTGTTCAAATCCAGCTGATATACATACAGAAAGCTTCTCTCTATAAAACAAAACTAAACTAAACTAATAAAACCAAAAATACAGCTGAATGAAGACTGATTTCTTCAAATTTAAATCCATGTGTTTGTCATTAATTTTGTGTATATACACATTTTTGAAGACAGCAAATTTGATGCTAGATTTCAACTCACTGCTAATATAACAGGCAAATAGGAGCACTGATTCTTGTGCAGAGTCACTGCAAGATTCCCTGTGCACTGTCTCTAAAGTAGACCTCACAGTGAGAAGCCTGTAGGACCAGCAACCACAAAGCACATAGGCAGATAAATATCTCATCAATCGACTTGGAAGCTAAGCAAGCAATTCCTCTCCCTGGTCAGCGGTGGTGGTTTGGCAGACTGCAGCCCTTCCAGGGGAGAACAAGCAGCAGCTCCTGAGATCCATGCCATGTTGGAACTTAGGACACTGGGAAGCCAAGCAAGCACCACCACTCCCTGGTGAGTGGTGGCAGTCTGGCAAACTGCAGCCCTTCCAGGGGATAACCAGCATTAGCTCCTGAGATCCATGCATTATTGGAACTTAGGACGCTGTGAAACCAAGCACCAGCCTGTCTCCCTACTAAGCAATAGTGAACCTACTGATGCACCACCTAGAGTCAAATATCCCATTTCCCCAACTCCTCTATCCTGTCATAACCCCACCCCCCTACCCCCATTAGCAAATGAACCAGAAATCTGAGCATCTCCTTGGAAGTTGACCAAATAAGGGGGACTTCCTTCTACTATCTCTTTGAAGGCAAATATTTTTATTACTGTTTGGCTCTATTCTGATTAATGGTAGTGCTCTATTCCATATTCTGTTTTGATAAGTTCTATGTTCTGTATTTCATCTCATTTTGATATACGTGTTTAAAAGAAAAACTATTATAAAGATAACGAAATATACTGTGATACCTATTTCTGTTACCCCAGTAACCTGTAGTGAAGTTGTATACCAATTTCACTGTATGATCTTAGTTGGTCTTATTCTGCCTTGTTCTGTTGTATTTTACCTATTTCAAAATTTAAAAAAAGAAAAAAAGTCTCATCAGTCACTTTGATAGACTGCAGATGATGTATCTTCAAATCTCATTTAGGCCAGTGAGTACTTTGTTCTTAATATAGTTAAGCAGCATTTTGAAATATGAATTTGGATTCATAGAACAAAACATAAATAACACCAAATATGGTACATAAATAATAACTGAAATGTTAGTGGAAAACAGCTATATTTTCAAAATATGTATAAAAAATGAAACCAGGCCCAAGCTGTAAATTATAGCTCACTGTCACCAAGTGATCACTTTCAATTCAGATATAAGAAATATATCTTGGGAGGCTGGTGACAGAGGACCCCAAATGATAGACTGTAGTGCAGAGACTTCTGGAGCTGCCATTCTTCTACAGTGGTGAACTCAGCTCAACAGAGGAGTGTTTGTACTAAAGAGCTTTACCTCAGGCTTTTAATTTTCAAATCCATTTTTTTTCAAGGAAAAAAGAACACATCAATTAAAATTAAATTTTAAAACATGTTAATCAGGGGGCAACACTGGTATATATATTGCACATTGTCATCACCAGATCATTCACCCAGACCACCAGACATCTGTAATCAAGTTTCCAAACAGTACTGTTATAGGTACCTGAGTTATATAAATACTATTGGCATGAGACAGGGTTAGGTCCCCAAAGGAGCTCATGCAGGAACCAGATACCTTCCAACTATGGGGAAGACTGACACCTCATGCTATGGGCCAAGGCTCAAGACAAATGATAAGCTAATTCATCCATATCCTAAGGATTGATATTCTAAATAGTTTTCTAGCACTCTGAGGAAGTCAGGAGTCACCATTCAAAGAAATGAATCCTTATCCTAAAGAATGATATTCTAAATAGTTTTTATCATGAAGTCAGGAGTCACCCTCGCAAACCCCTAAGGGAAGTCACAGCTGCCTAATAATGCCTGCTTCTGTGTGACTCCATTCCCCCTTTGTTCCCAATTAAATCAACTTTACCTGAATTTATAATCTTATTAGCTACCATAGCTCTGTCCCATCTTATGCCCATCAGCATTGTGAGTTCCTAGTTTTCCCCACCTAAAACTTATTTCATCACATGATTTTACTCTATAAAGGTCCCTAGAATGGACAGTGTTTGGCAACCTGCTCAGGACACCTTCTCTCTCTCAGGCAGCTTTCTTTCTCTCAATAAGTATATTCTTCTCTTAATCTCTGTTGTTCCTAAAATTCATTCTTTGACTTTACAGAACAAAAACCTCATATAAGACATAGTAGACCGGGAGATTCATTCTGCTATAGCAATATCAGTACAAACTTTTCTCTTTTGTGAAGTCAGAGAAATCAGTAGTTGTTTGTATCACACCATGTTGATCTCACCTTGCCAGGGATACTTGCATTGAAGGGTTTATCCCTGCCTTTAAATGCTGCTTCTTTTTCTGAAAGTGAACTGATCTGTAATTTTGGCAGGGATGCTTACTCATATGGCCACTTCCTCTTTTCTCCTTGATTACCACTTCCTCTTTCTTTCCCAGAGGCCTAGAGAAAACTCCCATCAGCTCTTGGCATGACATCAATGTCCCCTCCAAGCACAACATCCATTCAAAAGTCACATATACCCCATATCCCAATAGTCAGTCGGGGGGGAAAAAAAACAGCCACACCCTTGGTGGCTGTGGGCTCCTCACCACATTATTTAAATAAAAGGCCACTTTAACATTTCTTATATTCTGCTTCTCTATTGTGCTAATTTACCTCCTCAGTTACCTCAGTAATCTAACCCACTTTAAACCTATCTCACAACATGATTTTATTCTATAAAGTCCCTAGAAAAGCCAGAGTCCTTTGCTACGGGCTCAGAATCCTTCCTGTTTCTCTCAGACAGAAGCTTTCTGATAGGATTTTTGGTGTAGTAAAGAAGACAATATAAAATCAAAATGGCCTTTATTCTAAGAATATGGGGAGAATCCCATGACCACTGGGGGTCTGGCTTTTTCGTCTGGAAATGTGTGGGTGGCATACATATAGTGATTGACTTGGATGGTGCTTAAATGTGGCATTGCTGATATGCAAGTAGCTGATTGAGATTCTTTTCTGGCCACAGGTAGGTTGAATAGTGGAGAAGAAAGTAACTTCAAGGTAAAAGTGCCCTGCTTCCTCCTCCCACTTCCAAAATATCTTATTTAGAGCCCAAAACTTTCACTTTCTTTCTCTCAATAAATATATTCTGCTCTTCAAATCTGTTGTTCCTAAAATTCATTCTTGCATTTTAGAGAACACAAACTCATACCAGATATAGAAGGTCAGGAATTTCATCCCACTATATCACAATATGACTGCCTGTATTTCTAACTAACTCAGCTGACTGTAACTTTAAGAATTGTTTATCAATTTGACTTGGAGTAATTGTAGCAAATAAAATATTCTTAATGGATATAAGAAAATATATCATTAAATTGAAAAAAATGATTATCACAGTTTTTCTAGCTAGCATCAGCCAACATTTTCAATTTTCAAGTATGTGGGAAAACAAAAAATAAAAACAACTCAGAATATAGCAACCTATAGGGGACAGTACATCATTCACTGTAATTGCCATGTTATCTGCAAGTATGTCATAGACCACAAAAGAAACATTGAGCCTATTAGTTAAAAAGTATCAGTTTCAAAAAATGTACTCATAGCACTGCATCATTGACAACTGTGAATTATTTTTGTATGAGGGATTGAACTCATGACCTTGTGCTCTCCAGGCAGCTCCTTATATCATTGTGCTCAATCACCAGCCCCAACAAATTTAGATACTAAATATGACTATAAACAATGTTTAATTTGCCATTGACATACTTAGTTATAAATTTTGTAAATTTACATTTTCACAAATGAAATTATTTTCCTTCCTTGCAGTTCAAATTACTTTTGTTTATAGGTACCAGGGATCAAAGTTACAACCTAGCAGTTTCCAGGCAGGGGTTTCTGCCTGCTGAGCTAAATCCCTGGCCTGTATTAATGAATATTTTTAAATGTATAAACATCACTTTATTCATTCAAATAGTATTGTGATTTTAGCAAAGGATGTCAATGTAGACAGAAATTGATATACAATCAGAGAGAAACTGGAACCTCAAAGAGTCAATGTAAAAAACTAACTCCCACAATCACTGCTACAGGCACAGCTGAAGAAAACCAGAACTGAAGGTGAAGATGCAGTGACCAGGTCTACATGCTGCTGAAGAGAAAAACAGCACCTTTGAAATGTACTACAGTTACCACCACCTCCTCCAGGAAGTCCTGACAGGCATCAATTACCATACTCAATGACCAGAACAACTGGACTATTGTTCCCACAAAATGCCTTGGCTCTTTCCACATACCTTTTCTGACTGACTTGTTCCCCTGATGAATAATATTGGTAAGCAGCTATAAGCTTATAGGTTGATTGTAGTCTGAGACACCCACTGTACTCACATTGTGACTTTCCTGTATAAATGACCCCTGTCAATAGGTCTGTGGCCAAAACACTGAAGACCACTCTTGAAAATTCAGGGCTATTCTTCTCTCTTTATTTCTAAGAAAATTTTTTAACTTCTTTTGGTTTGTGACTTCCTTTCTCAATGTTGTGAGCAATTAAACTTGGTGCATTTGACATAAAACAGGGCAGGATTATATTTCTCTTATTTCAATTTAAATATGAAATGTCTGCTAAAGGCCATATTCTAAAGCCTGGATTTCAAGCTGCTTGTTTGCCATGAGCTTAACATTTCCATGAACTTTGAGAAGTCCTCAGTCTAGTGAACTGCAAATGTATTGGAGGAAGGAGGTCACTGTTGTGCTGTAGCACAATAGGTGCCATTCCTAAGTCTGTGTTTGTCACTGCCTCCTGGATGTCACTCCATGGCCTTCCTTCCTCTGTATCATCATTCAATAATTCCCATTTTGCATAAGTCAACTTTCACTCAGCCCTATTATTGTTTTTTTTTTTTTTTAAATAGTCCTTCCGTCTCCTTGGTTGTTTATTTTTTTCACTTTAGTTTTTTGATTTAAAGACATAATCTCACTTTGGAGTTCCGCCCCGCCTTGCACTCACTATGTAGGTTAGCCTGTCTTTGAATACATGGCCATTCACCTGTTTCAGCCTATTCATTGCTGGGGAAAATTGGTGGGCATTATAACACATGGCATTTGTCCATTTTCTCCTCTCCTTTTCTCTTTTATTCTTTCATTTCAGTGGCACTGTCATTTAACCCTGGTGTTTGCTTGTGTCAGTAACGGTTTTGGCAGCTTGAGTTGAGTATGTGAACAACAATATAGGAAGCCAAGCAACCCAATTGATAAATGTGGAACTTTATTAGCTGGTCTCAGGACTGCTTGTATACAGAGCCCCCACCTCCATTTCAAGATCTAAACATGAGGCTTTGAACTGGAAAGTTAGAGATGTTTTAAAAGATAGAATCACAAAAAAGATCCTGTTGGAAATCGTTTAGCTAGAATCTTATAATAAGTTTTGGATGACAACTGTATTCTGCTTCTTTTGTTGAGCAGGTTAATTTTTTTCTTTGGGTACAGCTCATGTTGCTTTTCTCCTGGGACTTCTACCCTGAGTGATTTTCCATTTTTCTGGGTGAAATACAGGGCACTAGTTAAATGCAAAGCTCAAGATGACATCTACTATGCCAAGCTACAACACAGCTAAGTTACAAGCCTCAATATTTTCTAGGGTAAAAACACACATATCTATAATCCCAGCACTCAAGAGGCTGACACAGAAGTGCTGCTTTGAGGTTAGGGCAATTCTGCACTCCATAAGGGGTTCAAATCTAGCTGATATACGTAGAGAAAACAAAACTAAATTAAACAAATAAACCAAATGAAACAGCTGAATGGAGACTGATTTCTTCAAATCTGAATTCCGTATTTTGGGGATTAATTTTTTATATACACATTTTTGAGACAGTAAATTTCATGCTATATTGCAATGCACAACTAATGTAACAGCCAAATAGGAGCACTGATGCTTATGCACTTATTCTTATGACTGCAAGAGTCGCTGTGCACTGTCTTTAATGCAGAGCTCATAGTGAGAGCCTGCAAGACCAGCATCCATAAAGCACAGAGGCAGACAAATATCTCATCAATCACTTTGATGTACTACAAATGGTATCTCTTCTAATCAGTTAGGCCACAGAGTCCTTTGTTCTTAATATACTTAAGCTGCATTTTGATATTTGAATTTGGTTTCACAGAACAAAACATAAATAACATCAAATATGGTACATAAATAATAACTCAAATGTTCATGGAAAACTGCTGTATGTAAACAATGTATAAACAATGAAACCAGGTACAAGTTTCAAATTATAACTCAGTGTCAACAAGTGATCACTTTCCATTCAGATATAAGAAATATATCTCGGGAGGCTGATGCAGGAGAACTGCTTGAGTTTGGGGCTGGCCTAAGTTACAGAGCTGTCTGAAACAGAGAAACCCTGACTGAGACACCCCACAGACAATGTAAAACTTGAAAAGTGACTGCATAAGACACCTTTGGTTTGCTTCAAAAAATTATAGCCATACAATATAGAAAAATTCCACAATATTCAACATTTTCTGAGGAACAAGCTTGATATCATCCATAATATACAGAAAACACTTTCAGAGCTGGTTATTTAGCTCAGCAGCATGAAACCTAACTGGAAAGCTTGAGATCATGAGTTCGATCCTTGGTACAAAAAAAAATTCAAATTTCACCTTCATGATACTGGGTCATAATTTGAGACAATCAAAACTAGATCTCAAGTGAATAACAGAGAACTCATGGGTTGACAGGGATGTGGAATACTGATTGTTACCAGAGCTGTTGTTATTCACCTCAAGGAAGATATCATAAGCCAACTTTAACTTCATGCTTACCCTAAGAAATACCTGACTTTTAGTGAAGACCCCCTCTGTTGTATGTCCTGCTATTTGCACACTGTGTCCTGCTGGTCACTTCCACATACTTTCCATAATCGTCTGATCCAGGAAATCCTGATGGGCCTCAATTACCATACTCAATGACCAGAACAACTGGACTATTGTTCCCACCAAATGCCTTGGCTCTTTCAACATACCTTTTCTGGTGGACTTTGTTCCCCTGATGAATAATATTAGTTAAGCAGCTATAAGCTTAGAGGTTGATTGTAGTTTGAGACCCACACTGTACCCACATTGTGACTTTCCTGTATAAATGACCCCTGACAATAGGTCTGTGACTTAAACACTGAAGAACATTCCTGAAAATCCAGGGCTATTCTTCTGTCTTTTTTCCCAGAAAACTTTCTGAACTTCTTTTGGTTTGTGACTTCATTCCTCAGTGTTGTGAGCCAACCAACTTGGTGCATTTGACAACAAACAGGGCAGGATTGTACTTGTCCTATTTCAATTTGAATATGAAATATCTGCTAAAGGCCATGTTCCAAAGCCTTTGTGTGAAGCTACTTGCTTGCTGTGAGTTTAAGATTTCCATGAGCTTTTGGACCGCTTCATTCTAGCAAATTGCAGATTTATTGGAGGAAGGATATCACTGTTGTGCTGTAGCACTATAGGCACCATTTCTAACTCTATTTGTCACTGCTGCCCAGATGCTACTACATGGCCAGCTTTCCTCTGCAGCATCATTCCATAATTGCCAATTTATGTCAGCTTTCAGTCAGCTCTATTGTTTTTGTTTTCCTTTAACAGTCTTTCTGTCTCCCTTGGTTTTTTTTTATATTTTTCATTTTTATTTTTTGTTTTTAAAGATGTAATCTCACTTTGTAGTTCTGGCTGGACTTTCAGTCACCATGTAGCTTAGGTTGGCCTTGAATACATGGCCATTCTCCTGTTTCAGCCTCTTTAATGCTGTGGAAAAGAGGTGGGCATCATAAAACATGGTGTTTGTCATTTTCTTCATTCCTTTTCACTATTATTCTTTCATTTCAGGGGCACTGACATTTAAACCAGATGTTTGCTTGTGTCAGTAAATCTTTCTGCATCTTGAGCAGAGTTTGTTAACAATGCAGGAGGAATACAAGCATCCAAAGTATAAAGTTGGAATTTAAGTAGCTGAGATCAGAATCCACCACTTGTATACAGACCCGCTTCCCCATTTCAGAATCCAAACAAGTGGCCCTGAACTAGAAAGTTAAGCATTTTTAAAAGAGAGAATCACAAAAGACATCCTGTTTGGAAACAATTTAGCTAGAATCTTAAATGAATTTTTATTTGACACCTGTATCCTGCTTCTTTTTTTAGCAGGTTACTTTTTTTTCTTTGGGTACAGCTCCTTTTGCTTTTCTCATGGAACTTATACCCTGAGTGATTTTTAATTTTCCTGGGTCAAATACAAGGCACTAGATAAATGCAGGGTACAAAATGGCATGTTATGCCAAGCTGCAAAACAGCTGAGCCTCAGTGCCAAGCCTCAATATTTTCTAGGGTAAAAAGCACATAATGTTTGAATATTTCATAATTTGTGATATTCATTCTTATAATAAAGCATGATCTAAAGTCAGGACAAGCTAAGCTCACCAGGTCTCTCATTGCTTTTCACTGGTCTTTTCTTCATCATCCTTAAATACAAGACTCTCTCAGTTCTTAATACTAATGCTCACATTTGATTCATATTCCTACCTGTGACATCTCCTGTTTCTGCAGTAGTCTAGCCTGGCATCCCCAGCCCATAAGAGATAGAAACACATCTTGTGATTCCCTGCACTCCAATTATGTTATGTATTAAATTGGACACTTTTCCTTTAAGGGAATGGCAGTTAATGAATACATGTGTATCTCATGACTGTTTCTTCATGTTTCAAATAACACCTAACACCAGTAATTTTTTCAAGCGTTAGTTTCACACCTGTAATCCCAGGACTTAAGAGGCTGAAGTAGGACAATCGGTTTAAGTTAACTGGACCAAGAAGTGAGTTCACAGTCAGCCTGAACTGCATAGGGAAATCCTGTCTCAAACAAACAGAAAAAAAATCATATTATTGTGGATATCCTTGGGAAGAAGAACTCAACAGTTTGAAACTCTTAGAATCATACCTGTTAGGTTTCATCTGGTGAGTATAAGAGACCAGTAAAACTACCTTCAAGGATATGGAGAAAACTCAAAAAATCATATTGCAAACTGTCATATAGATGTAATGCATTGCCTACCAAACTACGATTAAGATAGCTCACAAATGTACAGAAAACATTTCTAAAATTCATTTGGAAACAGAAATGCTCTAGATCGCAAAAGACATTGCTGGGCAACAAAGGCAAGTCAGGAAGCATCACAATTCCTGACTTGCTATTATACTAGAAAGCTACTATCAGAAAATCAGCATAGTTCTGGCAGAAAAATGACCTGATAAAAGGACTAGAAAATGCAAATAGAACTACAAACACACTCTGCTACCTTGTCTTTGACAAAGGAGCTAAATATGTTCGGTGGAAGAGGGACAGCCTCTTCAATAAATGGTCCTGAAGAAAATGACTTTCTTCATACTGAAGACTTAAACGGGAGACATTTCTATCACCATGAAATAAATATAAGTCAAACTAGATCAAAGATCTAAATATTAAAACAGAAACACTAATGAGGCTTCGTGAACAAAATAAAAATTTTAAAGAATCAACCACCAGGACCCTATCTTATTAAAAAATATTTGTACATCAAAAGAAAGCACTAAAAGAGTGAAAAGACAATGCACAGAATGGGCAGGGGATATTTTTCTATTTTCTGATAGTCTCTTCAATATCCTTTTCCAAAGTACTATAATTTTCAATATGTAAGTCCTTTGCTTTCTTTGTTAGGTTCTTTCCAAGTATTTCATTTACTTGGAGGCTATTTTAAATGGTGTGGTTTCTGTAACTTCTCTCTTGGTGAGTTTGCTGGTTGTGTACAAGAATGCTACTGATTTTTGATTGTCAACTTTGTCTCCAGCTATATTATTGAATTTGGTTATTAACTCTAGGACTGTTTTGGTCAAGTTTTTGGCATCTTCTATTTACTGTATCATATCATCTGTGAACAATAATAGTTTAACTACTTTCTATTATATACTTATTCTGATTTCTCTCTTTTATTTAATTGTTCTGTTTCCAGAGCTATATTAAACAGAAGTGGTCATAGTAGTCATCTGTGTCCATTTCATAACTGTAGAATGAAAGTTTTCAGTTATTCTCCATTTACTATGATGCTGCATTTTCTTTGTCATTGTCTGATATTTTTTTTTTGTCTTTTTCTTTTTTATCGGTACTGTTGATCATACTCATGACCACACAACTGCAAGGCAGGTGCTTATGCCACTGAGCTAAATTCCCAGCCCCTGTCATTGTTTGATTTTATCAGCTTTAGGTAAAGGTCATTTGTTGTTATTTACTGTAGGGTTTTTATCACAAATCAGTGCTTGACTTTAGCAAAAGCTTATTGTGCATTTATTGAGATGATCACCATGTGACTTTAGTTTTTGACTGTGTTGCTATGACATTTAAATTTGTTAATTTTCATGTACTGAAACATCCCTGCCTTCTTGGAATGAATCCAAGTTGGTCAGGTTTTCAAATCTTCTTGATGATTTGCTACATTCATTTTGCTAGTATCGTGTTAAGGATTTTTGCATCTATGTTCATTAGGAAAACTGTCCTACAGTTTTATTTTTCTGGTTGGGTCTTTCTCTGGTGTTAGTATCAGGGTAATACTTGCCTCCCAGGAATGAGTTAGGGAGAACAGCTTCTCTTTCCATATCATTAAACAGCAGTGGCCTTAAATTTTTTTCTACATTTCTTGTCGAATTCAGCAGTAAATCCCTCAGGACCTAAACTTTTTATGTTGGTCATTTGCTTTTCTGTTGTCATTGTTTTTCTTTTTTTTTAAAAAGTGCTCATGAGACAGGCACTCATTATTCAGTTTAGGTTGGCCATGAGCTCATTTTGTAGTGTTGTTTAGTCTTGAACTCACAACAAGCCTTGTACCTCAGCCTCCCAAGTTCTGGGATTACAGGAATGCATCACCATGCCCAGAAGCTGATAAATTTTTAACTAGATCTTCATTGTCATTAACTGATACTGTGTTTTCTCTATTTATATCTTCTTAAATCAGATTTGGCATTTCATATGTATCTAGGAATCAGTGCATTTCTATATTTTCTAACCTATGAAAGTATAAGCTTTTGAAGTAGGTACTGATGATCTTCTGAATTTTCACAGGATCTGTAGTTATTTTATTCTTCTGATTCCTCAATGCATGGTTTTCAGTCTTTATTTTTCTCTTTTTTGATATGGTTGTCCAAGGGTTTATCAATTTTGTTTATTATTTCAGTGAATCACCTCTTTGATTCATTAATTCTTTGAATTGGTTTCTTGTTCTGCATTGCATAAATTTCTTGTCTGGTCTTATAATTTCCTCCCTTGTATGGGATTTGTGTTTGTCTTGCCATTCTTCTTCTGGAAGACTGAGATGCAACATTTCATTATTTGTTTATGTTCTTTCTATTTCCTAATGTGAGATTTGACTACTATAAATTTCCCTATTTGGACTGCTTTTATTGAATCCCATAAGGTACAGAATTTTGCATCTATATTCTTGTTAGGTTGTAGGTATTTTTAAGTTTCATCCTTTATTTCATCTGTTACCCATTGGTTGTTTAGGAGACTGTTATTTAAGTTCCATATACTCATGAAGTTTTGCAACTTCTTTTACCATTATTTCCCAATTTAAACACATGCTTAAGAATACTAGCTTTAGGCTGCAAAGTCAATCAAGTAATACAAGGATTAAGTTGTTGTTATACCTCAATTGCTATCAATTCAGCATGTCCTCTAAACCAATAAGATGGTTGGTGGTGAGAGGAGGTGATTGTGGTGCTCCTCTCCAAGCCAATGCAGGGGTTAGATCATAGGAAGTGTAAGTTACTTTCTTGCTTTTCTTTGGAGAACTAGAATAGCTTCCACAGAATCACAACATGGGCACATTGGCTAGTTTCCCCTACCATTCCCCATATGACTTCCACTAGCTCACAGGAAGGAAAAATTAGCTTTCTATTTCTCCCCTCAGGCCCAGGATGGCTCTGGATTATTAATATTTTCATCAGGATGACTTGGTGGAGACATATCATAAAACCTGCATATCTATGTGTATGTCCTACAGAAAATAATTCATATGTAGGTCATTGATTGGAGTGGAAATGTCTTGAGGAAAGTTGTGTCATGTAAGAGGATTTGGCATTGGTGAGCCAAAAAAATACAGTGGAAAGAACAGCTTCTGTATACCTGAATTGTCTTAAACAATTTGATACTTGGTCCTGTCATCACCCAACATTACCAGATTTCAGTGCTGAGTCTTTAAAATAGATACATTTTATGTTTCATGCTGGGGTCTTTTCCTAGACACCAAGACGCCAAAATGGTGTACCAAAAAGGCCCTAAGAAATGAGAAACACAGCATGGTCTTCAGAGCTGCAGGAGGAGAGAGATCCTTGACAGAGCTCATCACTCTGCTAGCCAGCTGTCCAACTCATGCTGGCAGGAGTTGAGTGGACAATGGAGGAAACCTGATAAGAATCTTGGGAGAGGTTCAAGACACTCTCAGAGCAACAGATGATGCTAACTGCAGAGAACTATCCCACAGAAAGTGTCTAGGTGGCCTCAGCTGTGGCCTATCTTGTCCCCTGAGGCATCTCTTCATTCTCAGTTCAATCATGCCTGTGCCACATCACAGCCCTGCATGAGTATTCAGTTTCAGTGGCTCCAACATATACCTCTTTTTTGTTTGGTTGATACACAGATGGGTGACCAGCTGAAGATGGAGAAGCTATTTTAGAGCTTCTACCACTGCATAGTCCATCCATTCATAATGGTAGTCAGTTACCAGCATAGCCAGCAATTGTCAGAGGATGTTAATGAACTGAGATTCACACACAGACAATGTTTTACATTGCACTGTACCTCCAGAGGCCAGACTTTTCTGCAAAAGGTTCAAGACCAAGCTAACATAAGGACTGCGCTAAGGACAATTGGTTCTTTACATCCTATCAAGGCCAGTTAGGTCTCTTGAAGAACAATCTTATAGCCATGCATAGCTCCTCATATCTCTTCTGTCAGTGTCAGCCACCTGGAAGAGTCATGGACATTGCTTGACCATGTCGATTTCTGTGAAAGCTTTGGAGATTTTTCTGGTGACTCGTGACTCTCCTTAGGCATACCTTGCATCAAAGTTCACTTTCTTCTTTGGTCTCATCATCTTCCTGATCAGAATACGAGGTACTCACTGAGTATCTTCTGATGATGCAAGCAGAATTTCTTTTACATCCTGGGTCTCCTCCAAGCTTGAATTGCTGGGGCCAAAATATTGAGTATCCATTTAGGCCATCTGTGTCTCTCATTTTTGGTCTCTAGACCTTGGCTGATGGACATCCAGAAGAAAAGATTGATAACAATACAGTATATTAGAGGCAGTAAGCTTAACATTACTATTTTATCTAAACATGGAAAACCTTAGCACACTAAATGAAATATATTTTGTACTACCTATGGACATTTTAACATTTGAATACCTTTAATGCTAACAGTGACATATTTTACATCGTAAATCAGGAATGAGAACCATACATATTATTATATTATGACATCCTTGCAATAATCTGAATTTGTCTTTTGACATAAAATATCCATTTTAGTCAGTCACACTTATCTAATGCACAAGAAGCTTCTTGTGTATTATTGACAAACTTATTGACCTTTAGTGGAATGTGAATCTCACAAGTCTTTCATATTAGCAGGGGTATGAACATGAAACAAAAGTCTGCTACTATAAGAAATCTACATTTTACTATCTTGGAGGCCTATGCCTCCAGAAATATGAATATATCTAATACATGTTGAATTTGATAACAGTCAACTGTCATAACATGTGAAACCTTTACAAAGGCATCTTCAATGCAAAAAATGTATTACTTATTTTGATAATGACCAATGTGAACATTTAGGAATACATTTCACAACTTTAGCTAAAGTGTCTCCTATAAAGCTATGGAGAATATTGAGGTCTCTGAACAATAAACAAGCACTGGTTTAAAATGTTACCAGGCAGCTGATTTCTGATTTATCAATCAGAGCCCTGCCCAGAAATCTCAGTCCTAAGGGACTGACTTTGTTTATTCATCTTAACAATATAATTTCTAAATAATGAGACTATCAAGTCAATGATAAATAACAACATATTCCATTCATATACCCAGTCTTTGTGACATTTGGATGAGCGGCCAACCAAGGTAAAAGCATACTTTATAAATTAGTAAACAAATAAATCTTTGATTATGTGATCCAGATATGGAAAAAGAGAAAGATTACTGAGCACAAAATGAAAGGAACAGCTTTTCACAGAGTGGACAAGTTGATAAACCTAGACAGACAATCTGTGCAGATTCAGACAAACACAGAAATAAGCACAGAGCTTATGGGGGGGGGGTCAGTGAGATCTCTTTATGTTCCTCATAGGCCATTTGTATACTTGTACCATACCCCTTTGTTAAACTAGCTCATCTCTTACTCCCTGTGCTCCCAGTGCTGGAACACCTGTACACCTCCAGCACTCAGGGTCTTTCCCAGATTTTCTGGGCCACATGAGCACTCCTGTATGGGCATTTTTGCTTTCTGCTTTACAGGTTTGAACAATCACTAGCTCAGCAACTCCCAGCAACTGCTTACAAACAAACTAAACAAATAGACAACTGATATATGGACAGACTGACAAACATCTCAGAAAATCAGAGTGCACTTGAGCATATCCTTAAGCCCATTTACAATACCTTCTTACAAAGTTAGAGTCTACAACTATAAATCAACCAGTTGAATTTTTTATAGACCAACTAGCTGAGAGCCTGTATAAAAGGATCCAAGACTTGATTCAGGGAGAGGTGAAATGGTGGAATTATGTTGTGTATCCTGTGGTGCCAACTCATTCTATGCAGGGCAAACACAATGATCTGGAATCCACACAAGGTCTTGGCAATAACACAGAAACATCCCCTCTTCCCCAGATCAGCAGGGCCACCAGCCCCTGCCCACTTGAGTCTGAAGTTGTTTTGAATAATACAAAAGGCTTTGTCAGAGATATATCCTGGTAAACACCTATTTGAATGACGGAAGAAGAAAGACTTGCTGGGAAAGAGAAGTCACTTATAGTAAATAGCACCATGGACACAAGAATAGTAACAACCTGTGCAGGAAGTGCACTATTCTCCTTTGTTTCAAGAGAAGAGATTTGAGGATATGAGCTTGTTAAGTGATTGCTTGGTCAGTGACATTATAGTGGATACAAGTTACATGACATATGTTCCATGTGGAACAAAAGGAAGCAAACCCTGTGAGGTATAGGCTGGACTGTTGTCAGTTTTAATGAAGGAAGATACAACCATGACTGCAAATACAGCCTGGAGGTGTCAAATTACATGTGAAGCAGATTCACCATGCAACGGCGAAGCACAAATAAAACCAGAAAATGTATCAACAGAAACATAAAGAAATGAAAAAAGATTTAAGGAGGAACAGTGTGTGGCATGTTTACCAAAGTTCACTGGAATAGAGGCCACGAGAGAGTTGACAGCATCACAGGGAAAAGGGTGAGACATGGCAGCACAATGGAAACCTGTGGAAATAAAAGCTCTAGCTTCAGAAGGTGGAATATGAAACAATTTGTGCAAGGAAGAAGCTGATTGGTGCAAAAAGGCAGGACATTCTTTAGTGTTATCAAATGAGTGTAGACTACAAAGTAACTTCAAGGTCAGCCTGAACTGCATATAGAGGCACTATGTCAAAAAGACTCTGCCCAAAAAAAGAGGGAACAGAATATGCAGTACTTGATCAGAAATAACATTATCATATAAAATGCCAGGTAGGGGTTAATGACTAACTACATGTAAAAGAAAAAGAGGTGCATGGTGAAGGCAAGAGGAGCCTGTAGATGTAAAAAAGAGACATTGAGTGTGAGTCTATTGCTACAGGAAAGATAACAAGAGAAGATAAATGTGGGTTGGCATTAAGTACATATAAAATGTCAGTAACTAAGTTAAGGACTTGGGATGAAAAAATTTGCAAAGCAAGGATAACACAGACAGCTCATTACATTGACAAGAGGTTTGTGGTAGTGAATACAGGTGTTTCCAAGTATTATAAACAAAATATGTTACAGCTTCATGATTGGGGCGTCCATCAGTGAAGACAGTGAGGGCACTATTTAAATGGGTACTAACCAAGTACGTCTGAAGAGAAAAGGAAAGTAGGGTAATTAGAGACAAACAATGATCAAGGGGCATATCAATAAAAATAGAACCAACATAGACAGCCAAAGCCACTTGCAGAGGCTTTGCTTTTTTTTTTTTTTTTTTTTTGTACCAAGGATTGAACTCATGACTGCACTTGCAAGGCAGGCACTCATGCCACTGAGCTAAATTCCCAGCTCTGCATCTTGCAGAGGGAACCGCAGAGGACAGCAAAGAGGAAAAGTCAGCCTTGGTAAGTGGTAAGACAGTATTGATTAAATCAATTCCAAGGCCTATAGGTGTTCCAGTACATCCTCAAGAGATGAGACATAACAGCACGGACAACAAGAAATAAAGCATTTCCATTAGCTCCAGTGTGTAGCAAACCTGAATAGTTAAAGCGAGGCTTCAGCATTCATCTCCCAGGGGATAAGCAGTAGCCTCCAATGTAGAGCCAAATGCTTAATTTCCATGAGTAACATCACAAGTTTTAGAGGAGACAAGGCAAGACAATTAGTTGGGCTACAGATTCAAAAAAATTAGTAGAATGTGTAAGAGAGAACACAACTGAAGCAACAATATGCCCACATAATCAGCATCAATGAGGCCAGGAATCACAGAAGTGCTTCTTTTTGATGCATGTGAACAGGAAAGAACTAGGCCAACTGTCCCAGGAGGTAAAGGATCATGAAAAGTAGTACAAAACTTCTAAAACATATCAGGGAATTCCAAGCTAGGGTCAGGTTTCGCAGAAACATCTTTAAAGCATTTTTGTAGTCTTGGTTTGCATTTTTGTATGTTAATTGCTTTAACAAGATAGAGGCTGCTGCTGTGTTGTTCACCTGGCATTCAATAGCTTTATATAGTCTTTCTATGAAGGCAAGGCAAGGTTCAGTGGCCTCCTGTTTAATATTACTAAAGGAATCTTGTAACCCTCTGCTTAAGGGATTCTTTTCAAGGTTTTAAAGCAATTTGAGCCATTTGAGAATAATAACCTGATGGTGGTAATGAACTTGTTGGCAAACATCTGAAAAATCTCTCTCCCCCCATAATTCAGCAGCTCCTACAGGAATATAGTAATCAAAATTATTTATAGCTTGCATGTTTACAGCACCAGTATGTTCTTAGAGCCACACCTGATGTTGGGTTGGGGTGAAAATAGTATGCACTGAGACTTTCCACTCCAAAGGGGTCATTTCAAAACCATGAACAATACCCTCAATAATGCCAATTATAAAAGTACTTTTAGTCCATATTCCTTAGCCATTTTAAATTCTTTATCTTTGTTTTTCTTTTTTGGAACATGGAATTGAGCTCACAACCTTGTGGGTGTCAGGCAGCCACTTAGGCCACTGAGATTATCCCTTGCCCCTTTTAACTCTTTAAATAGAGTACTGCAAACTTTCAAAGTGGGGCTCTTTTCCTGTTGATATAAAACAGGTCAAGCAATTAATTCCCCATGTTGTTTAGCTTCTTGGGCCATCTTTGGCCTGGGAGGTCAAACAGGTGAAGAGTTGCCCAGAGGTTTTATGGGGTTTGCATCTTGTGGAGGCAGCAGCAAGAGGAGGTGGAGAAGCAGTATAAGTGAGGCATCCAGGAAAACTGGGAAGCCAACGGTGCGATGTTCCATGTACCTGCCTGCCAAATGTCACCACATCCCAGCAAAGATACCAAGTGCAAGACAGAGATCAGAGCTCAAGGTCCTCAATGCAGCAATTTATATATACTTTTCCCAATCTGCCATAGTGACCACACCAACCTCAGAATACCAAGGACAATTATCATAAATAGACCACAAGAGTTGCACCAAACATGGCCCACATTCCTAAGGAAAAGCAGTTCTGAATTATGTTTCTGTTGCACTTCAGACACAGAAATCCCCATGACTTACCTGGTGAAGGAATTTTTTTTTCAAAGAAAATGAAAGGAATTTCCAAACAAAATAAAATAGACATGCTTTCAGGGCCATTTTCTGCCCCAGGAACACAGCAAAGGTAAGTAACACTCCACAGCAGACATCTCCACTGTAGAGTCCCTATTCAGGCACCAATTGTTGGGGTCAGTGCCTAGACCCCCCAAACCCACAAATAGATGCATGGCAAAGGCCCAAAAAAGGAAACAAGTGACAAAATCTTTAGGGCTG